TCCCGCGGGGCAAACTAACCCTATATCTTTACATAGTATTCATTATATAGATATTTAAAGGGTATTATTGTGGATCTCTGTTTAATTGAGGGCTAGTTGAAATTTCAACGAAAGTCCCTTCAAGAGGTTCACTGCACTCATGGTTGTTAATCGTTCAGAGTCCGAATTTAATGAATTTGAGCCGCGTCTCAAATCTGCCAAAAACCGGTTTCAATTGCGCGCTGGCTTAAATCTTGATATATTGAATTCAAATTTAGTGGAACCAATCATATTTGAGCCGCGTCTCAAATTTAAGCCGCGGCTCAAACTCTTTAAATTCGGCCTTAGGTTCGTTTCATATAACATTAAATAACTGTATTCTGTTATAGTTTACTTTTATTAAACTTTGCAATATTTTCATCCGAAGAGAAAATACAAAGAAAAAACTATCGTTTTATTTTTGCATATATTTTTTATCAAGGTAAAAATTTTGAATAAACGATTCTGTATTTTGTAAAACTTCTCAGGTTTTTGTGGAACCTTTAAACCTTTTAAACCTTTTAAACACCCTCAAAAAAGAAACAAAACGATTACTCACAGATTCTAGTGTTTAACTTGAATCATCTCTCCAGTTTTGAAAATATAACAAACTAGGCTTTCATTGCACTTTGCGCCCATCTTCTATTTCAATTGTGAACATTTTCTCGTTTTATACATTGTAAAACAAAAACAATAAAATTTCGCGGATTTTAAAAATAAATTTCGTGGATTTTCAAAATTTAATGAAAATTGAATAATTTGTTGGAGGCAATTTTTTTTAATTTTGATCATCCATAAACCTTCCTTGGGGTCATGTGAGGTCCCACACAAAATTTGGGCCCGATCGGTTCAGCCGTTTATCGGATACAAACAAACAAACAGACAAGCAAAGTTTAAATATAGATTTTCCAGGTTTCAACATGGTCTACCTCTTTTTTGTGCTTTCATTACACTACAGTAATCGACGATTGTGTCAATGCAATGAAGACGACTTTTCTATAATTAGTTTTTTTCAAATTACAAATTTAATGTTAAACAATATGGGAATCTGTTAATTGACAGCTTCTCTTTGTTTCCATATTTATATGCATCCTGCTGATTAACAACTTTGTAGGAACAAATTTGAAATAGAAATTCGTCACACTCACATTTAATTGATATATACGACGACGACATTACCGGAGATATTATCAATTTAGTCAATAAAACCAAAATATATGTTTTTGTGTAAATCCCCATATTTGTCTAATACATACTTTTTACATATATTTATCTATGTATCTAACCACAGATTAATGTCGGATCAAATCCTTCAATCCTTTACAAATCCTCCCCTTCCCTTCATACAGGATTTATTTCCCCAACCCTCTACAATCCCAGGAATTGGAAGATTCTCCCGTAAACAGATATTTTATAAAAGTTTATAAAATGATAAATAATCTTATCAAGAACCCATAAACCTGTGAACTAGGAAGACTACTGTATAGACTCAAGTTATGATTATAAATAGTCCAATGAAACACTGAATAGCAGATCTTTTTCACCGGCCATATAAGTTGGCTCTATAACATAAAACAAAAATGTTTAATATTTTTGCCGGCAAAATCAAAACAGATCCTGAAAGTACATTCCGAGCATAGTTTTAAATATTTAAGGTTGCGACATCAGGTTAAAAAGATATGAGGATTATAAAATTAGAGTTTAAGACAAGAAATAAGTTCCTGTAGATTAAAAGTCTAAAAAAAACTCTCTCAGCATTAAATTGTAGCCAAGCATAACCAAACATAATTACTAGTTTTTGAATAAACTAGGCTTTTAGGGCGCTTCGCGCCCATCTTCTATTCAAATTGTGAACATGTTGTTTTTTTACATTTTAAAGCAAAGAAGAACAAAATTTTGCAGATTTTTAAAAAAAAATTCGCGGATTTTCGAGAATTTAATTTTTTTTACAAAATTAAAAACCTTTAAAACACATTTTTTTAAAATTTTTATTGGATACAAACAAACAAACAGACACCCAAACACCAAAACAGACAGACAAGCCAAATTTATATATAGATTGAAAAAAAAACTGTGCTACAATCGACAAAACCCGAAACCTAACAAAAACTGACCAAGAAAATAAATAAATAAATAAATAAATAGATATTGGAAAAACTTCTCAATCCCATCAGGCTTATTTTCATCACAGCCAACAAAAAGAGGGAGTCCCAAAAATGCACAACAGTAACCTTAATCTGATCAATAATGTGGAAGATATCATCGTTTTGCACTTCTATTTGCGGGAGGCATCAATAATTTTGTATGTATTTTAAAATAAATCCTAATTGGTCTCAACATTAAACATCCCTTTTTTAACAACTAAATACTGAAAATATCAATTTTGTCTAAAAAACGGGATGACCCTCTTTGAAAATAGGGTTACATATAATTACAATGACAGTATATTTAATAGGATTAATGAAATACTACAAAAACTGTCAATATCTCTTTTATGGGACACAATATAATAATTTCTTCTATACAAACCTATTTTGTTTTTCTGGCCAGCAAAAAGGGATCTCTTGCCTTAATCCAACAAATGTAATAATGGCATAAAAATTATAAAAAGTGCCTTTTTTTAAAGAGACTGCAGTAAGCGTAATTGTTTCATTAAGTACAATATGCAGTATACATTGTTGATACTATAGTACGCATTTTGTGTTATGACGCATAAACAAAGTGATAAATTAGCAACAATCCAGAGGATAAAATGCCATGCGTACGACAGAGATGGTGCGGATTGCACTTTTTCTCAAGACCTCAAAATTTCTACCTGCCAGCGTATCTATATATATATTATCTTTGGTTGTGTGCAAGATTTTGCCTTTTTTCTAGGTTTTAAAAGGTTTATTTCTGATAATTTCAGTGTGTTTTGTATCAGTAGAACTACGCAAGTCACTATATTTTGAAAATTATAAACATTGATATCTAATTCATGCTTAATCAGACAAAGCTTTTCAGGGAACCGTTGTGAATCGAGCAGAACCATCTTGGCATGAAGAGTCACTTAAAAATACGCCTACAATCCCTTTAAAGATACTGATAACTCTTCTCAAACTCAATCTTTGCAACCCTATAGGTTAAAGCGTAAATATGTCAAAATTTGATCAGTTGATCTGACAAAATACCAATATTAGGTGGCAAGGGAATGTAAATTAGACATTTTATATTTGTGCATCGAGTGATCAGTGATAAAGAGGGCAGAAATACAGCTTTACAGAGTGTCCTATATCATATTAGATCGTCAATGGGTCTAAATTACAATTTCCGGGACTCTTCAGAAATTTTAAGAAGAATAAATCAATTTAAAAAATTGAATAAGACTAATATAAAAATTTGCTTGCAGGAAATGCTATGTTTTTCGAATATTATATGTTTATTTTGGCGTTAAAGCTTAGAGATAATCGAATATAATATAGGACGCTTTGTATATTACGATTCTCCAAAAACTGTTAAATGGTAATTTATATTTACATCCAACAGTTTATAGCTCTAAATTGCAATTTTTGGAACCAATCAGGCAATCTAAAAAGAATGAACCATTCAAAAAATTCTTTAAGAATAATATTTTTTTGGAGTGATATGTGCGTATTTTGACGTTAAAGCTTGGAGATAATCTAATGTGATATGGAACGCTCTGTATGTTACAGGGTGTCCCACGAAACATGACAGTATGCAGGCCGACTTGAGTGTCGTCTTGATTTTTGATATAATTTGCTGCGTTTATTTGTCAATCTAATTTTAGAAGTAAATTTCTAGAGATAATAATCACAAAATTTCCCTTGTCCTGCCATTTCCAAAATGTGGTCTGCCTTTCTTGTGCTTTCAATATTGCCCGAGATATGAAGAATTTCGTTCAGATTTCGACAATTTTGCTTTTATTTAACAAAATTGAAATCTGAACCAAACTCTTTATATCTCCGGTAATATTGAAAGCACAAAAAACGCAGACCACTTTTTGGAAATGCCAGGACTAGGAGAATTATGTAATAATTGTTTCAAGAATCATACATGTTAAAGTAGATAGAAGACTAAATGTCACAAATAAATTCAAATACCAAAGACGACTTTCAAGTCGTCTTCCTATTGTCATTTTTCGTGGGACACCCTGTATCTTCACCATACCGGAGTGTTTCAGCTGAAATTGAAAATATCAATGTACAGGTTGTCCAAATAAACATGGGAATTCGGTGACGAATTCGATATCGTCTTTCTTATGAATTAGCATTGTAATTTGTAATACCTAAATTCAAAAGCCGTAATATTATGTCTGTCTGTAATTTTCTTGTTTTAATAAGTACAACCGTATGCAGTCAAAACAAACATTCTAATTGTAAACATAGCAGACGAAAATATTACGGATTAAAGCTTTCTCAGTAGGTACTAGGTATCACTATTCTAAATCAAAGAATTATTTCAAAAGACGATATCGAATTCGTTACTTAATTCCCATGATTGTTCGAACACCCTGTACTAGCTGCGTCCATACAGAACTTGGAATAAAAACATAATTCGATGCATCTATACTATCCGTTCTGTTCTATCAGTTTGTTTTTAATCTTCATGACAGAAACAATCTCAAGAACTGACGAAGTTCAACCCAGACCGAAATATATTTTCAATATTGTGGAACTAACATCTACTTTTTTTACTCTACAGAGGTTTGGTCCATCACAATCACCGAAATATAAATGAACAAAAAGAGTTGTTGCAAGAATTGTTTATGCTCCGTACAAATGTACTGCACAGTTAAAATTAGTTTTCTACAGACTGACCCCGAGAAGTAAAACGTATTAATTGACCTTTATGTATGAAGAGTTCATGATGTACAAGGGGTTGTACAATTTTTAGCTTTATAGTCTGCATAAACAATCTATTCTTATGTATCTAGGATATACATACTCTTTAGTCTTTACACTCTAATATAACAAAAACAATTATTCAAGAAAAAATTTATATTTCTGTACTAATATTTTACTGTTCAGCAAAAATGGAAGATTTCACAATGTTAAATACTTGAAATGTTTTGCCAGGCTCGGAACTAATGAATCAAAAATATTCTGTATAAAACAAATTAAAAATGCAGAACAGCGGTGATAGTGAGATTCTATAGGAGGCGTGTCAGCCGTGTAATATCGTAAGGAGGGGGAGGACCAGCAGGTAACGAGCTTTGAGAGGAACCCCGTAAGGATCCAGCTGAACGTGAAGAATCTGTTCTGGTTCGACTAGGACCCGGAGTAGTTGGTTCTGAAGCTCCAGGTTCAATCTTTGCTCTTTTTTCCGGAACCTCGTCCTTAAATACAGAGTAATTTTTACAAATTGTTTTTTTTACTGATAAATGTGAAAATAATACATTTCAAAAAAATAATTTACTTGACCCTTTCCCCAATAGACATGATGTTAGGGGTGCAAAATGTAAAACTAAAATTTATGAAAAAATAGATAAATAAATTATTGAATAAGGGAGAAAGCAAAAAAAAACCCGAGAAAAAGCATCCAGTTGTTATTAATTTACCCCTCACCCGCATATTAGACAAAGTTTTAGGTCAAATTGTTTAGAAAAAGTGGAATAAAATGAATATAAAAGTATAGTATTTCCCACACCCCTACATTTATTAATATTTAGGTTATAATACATAACTTATACGACTGTGTGTAATTTTTTGGATTACAAATCATTTATTTTTTAATGCTTCTACATATTATTTGATAAATTACATAAGCAAAGGGGTCCTTCATTAAATATCTATGATAATCACTTTTTCCTTAGTTTGTAAAGTATAAAACAATAATAATACATAACTTTTTGGTAGATTTTCCTATTTTTTTTTCGCGCGTGAATTTTTAAAACTTTGAATAAATGATTGAAGGGAACATTTCCTAATCGTTGACTCGCAACAAAAACTGGGTGACTTGCGGACTATTATTGAGAACAAACAACGAACAAACCAAACAGCTGTTAAAAATTTGTTAAAACTATTAAACCTGTATTTCCTCGCCAACTCGTTTCTTGGTTGAATTAGTTTTCTTATCCCACTGCTGATGCAAGAACCTGGAGAGTTAAAGGGACTGTAAGCGTAATTTCAAGTGAACCTTCATGTAAAGATGACAATGCCCGATTTAATACAGTGCCCTTGAAAACTTTGCAATTTCTCTGCGAAAGTGACTTGCGCAAAAAAAAAAAAACAATGGAGAAATTAACAGAAATAAGGGACTTTTCGAGTCAGAAAAACGACGGCATCTTTCATATTTTTTTTTATTAGATACAAATTGGGCATTGCCATCTTTGCATGGAGGGTAACTTAAACTTATGCTTATATAGAAACCAAGAGGAATATGAAGGGTGAAGCATCAAGGGCAAAAGAAGGTAATGAGGATAAAGCATTCAAACAGCTATATACTTTTGCTAAATAGAAGGAAATATAATTCAGTTATAACATTGAAAATGAATATGTATGCTTGTTTTAAGGCAATTATGCAAGTTTAAGCAATATTTAGCAATACACGTTATTATTATTATTAATATTATTTTTATGCTGAGGAAGATAAAGTTAGATTAGATAAAACGACTGAAGTATCATACAAATAAATATAGAAGGTGCATTGGTTTAAAGAGACTGTAAGCGTAGATTCAAGTACCCCTCCATGCAAAGATGGCAATGCCCGATTTACAACTGTACCCTTGAAAGTTTTTCCTGATCAAGCATAAATTAGATATCAATGTTTTAGTTTCTTTAAATTGTTTATTTTCATTTAAATTTCGGTGATGGTGATGGACCAAACCTCTGTAGAGAAAAAAAGTAGATGTTAGTTCCACATTTATTGAAAATATTTTTCGGTCTGGGTTGACCCTCGTCAGTTCTTGAGATTGTTTCTTCACAAAGATTAATTTATTTTCAATTGAGGTTTCTTTGCAAAAGTGACTTGCGCAATGCGCATTCCTTATTTATAAGAAACAATGGAGAAACTCACAAAAAGAAACACTTCTAGATTCAGAAGAACGACAGTTTTCTTCCACATTTTCTATCAGATTAAGGTTCCAAGGGTACAGTTGTAAATCGTGCACTGCCATCTTTGCATGGGCGTTCACTTGAAATTACGCTTTGCGCAATACCGCAGGTCGTGGAAATACTAATTGAGCTGGGGTAGGGGGGGGGGGGTTGTCCCCTTTTAATAATAAAAAACTACCTGAGAAGAATGTTGGTTCGCTCAGTTACAATTATTTGCTCTGGAGGATCATCCTTAGTTGTAAGATATGTACTCTTCTTTCCAGTTGTACCCCTAGTAAAAAACAATTACAGTACAGTTACAATACAGTTACAGTGTAGAACAGCACAATACAGTTTCAGTGTAGTTTCAGTACAGTTTTAGTACAGTTACAGTACGGTTTCAGTTCAGTTTCAGTACAGTTTCAGTACAGTTTCAGTACAGTTTCAGTACAGTTTCAGTACAGTTTCAGTACAGTTTCAGTACAGTCAAGGCCACAGATGCAGTCACAGAATACAGACAGCCACAGATACAGTGCAGTACAGTACAGTACAGTACAGTACAGTACAGTTCAGTACAGTACAGTACAGTACAGTACAGTACAGTACAGTACAGTACAGTACAGTACAGTACAGTACAGCACAGTTCAGTATAGTCAACCATCATAAAGTAGAAATCAATGCTTCATCCAAAATAACCTAGGATGAAAATTGATGTTGATTAATAAAATACCCATTACCTATGGTGACTGTCTGGGTTTAGTCTGGTAAAGTTCTCCTTGTTTCTGGACGGAAGGTCCTTCAGGAAGTCGGAAACGGAACTCATCTTCTCTGAAATAATCATATTATGTATTTTATACTCCAGGTACACACGGTTACACAGCTAAACTAACTTCTCCCCCTGCCCCTCCCTGTAGGTTGTCATCTTCAGCAGTTCCCGCTGTGACATGATGTGCTTGTCTGTTAGTTCTCCACAACTAGCAATCATCACTTTCTCAGTCGGTTTACCAGATTTCGTTCCGAATTTCTAAACAAAAAGTTGATTTTAAAGGGACAGTCTCCTCTATTTAAAAAGAGTGAATCTCTTTAAACTTGCTCTGCTCAATAATGTCGAGATTATCGTCGTCATTAGAATATAAAAGTGTATAATTCTGACAATTTCCTCCATAGTTTCTTTTGCAGAAATCCAAAAATTACTCTTTTATAAAAACCGTAACTGAAAATAATCGATTTTCGAAAGTAAAAACATATTTAATTTATTCTTGATTATACAAAGGTGTAAAGAATACCGTTGTCAATCCTATAATTTGAGTTAAGATTACCTCTACATTCCAGTTATCTGTATTTGTTTGTTCTTCATTATTTTTAATTGCATAGTTTTGTTTTCAACATTTTTTACCTCTATCTTTTCTACAACACTGTAACCGGAAATCACATTCCCGAATACCACGTGCTTCTTGTCCAACCAGTCCGTTTTTGCCGTTGTAATGAAAAACTGGCTGCCGTTGGTCCCGGGTCCAGAATTTGCCATACTAAGGGTTCCAGGGCCCGTGTGGGTCAACTGGAAGTTTTCATCGGCAAATTTAGCTCCGTAAATAGATCTTCCGCCGGTTCCATTGTGGTTGGTGAAATCTCCACCCTGTAAAACAAATAACGTTGGTTAAGGAAGCATAAAAACCAGATCTGAATTCTATTTAAAATAATCTTGTTTTCTAATGGACGTTTTGTTTAAATTTTTTTCTTCTAAAATATGTCCAACATTAGCCAAACTTTAGTTAGATAAATTACCTGGATCATGAAACCTGGAATAACTCTGTGGAATATAGAACCTTGATATCCGAACCCTTTCTCATTAGTACAGAGAACTCGGAAATTCTCCGCGGTTTTTGGAACCACGTCTGCTCTGAGAAGAATGATAACACGTCCCATCATCTTGTCTCCGATCTTGATATCAAAGTACACCTGTGGATTTCTTCTCTTCTTGCTCTCCGGTCCTTCGTCTTCACCCTCCGCCCCACGCTTCTTTGTCCCGTCTGTTGCCGGCGTAAGACCAGCGATTTCTGTTCCTGCTCCGGTGGCTCCGTCCGGCGTGAGCGATGCTCCAGCGTAGTTTTGGAGCCACTCGTCGCTGGCCCAGACAGGACGCGTACTTCCTTCTTTGATCTTCATTGGCTTGGCAAGGTTTACGCGCAGTGTACGCCCGAACATTTCACTGTCATTCATGTTGTCAATGGCGGCCTGAAAGAGATAATTATTTTAATTCTTGTACAAAGCGAACCTTTTCTCTAAAATAGAACTTTAAAATGATTAATATCTCTACTTGTTACTAACTAATTGTCATAAAGAAAATCGTACACTTAAAGGGAGAGACCGGCTAGACATGATAGTTGATCTGAAAGTGCAGAATTGAAGAGAAAAACGTTAGGATTAATTTTATACCAATGGTAAATAAAGTCTATAGCTTTCATCGATAATTTCTTTTAAGAAATATGTTTCTAAACAGCAATTTAAAATATTTTTTACATGTTTGGTCCGGGTTATTGAGTAATTGTAAAACATCTAGTGAAATATCACATTTACAAACTACTTTACGCTCTTACTTAAAAATTGTACACCGTAAAAATTCTTATTGATATCAAATGCATCCTAAGGTTGTTCTCTACAATACTGCACTTTCAGCTCAACTACCATACCTAGCCGGTATCTCCCTCTAAGAATAATGTTTTCAATATAATTTATTAATGAATCTTATTTTCATAACTTCTGCATGAATCAACCCACCTGTGCGTCCTCCGGGAGTTCGAACTCGATAAATGCGAATCCTCGATGCTTCTCAGACTCATAATCTATCGGCATATTCACCTAGAAACATAATTTTTAAGTCGAATAAAGTTAAAAGCTCGTCTGCAATGAATAACCAATCAAAAGCCACAAAAATAGCCTCTCAGCTAATGAGATTAATAAAATATGGGTCAGCTATTTTTAAAGGATTAAGTAAATACATATTCGCTTGTGGTCACTAGTTTCGAGTAAAGGCTTTGTTGATTAGCGATCAAATAAAAATTCTACTTCTGGTCAACGCGTTAGTGGAGTAATTAAGCATATTTAGTTAATTTCTTTAATTTTAAAAGTTGTCTAATGTCTACCTCTACGATATCTCCAAATGGGACAAATGCAGCGTTTAATACTTTTGTATCAACCTCCTCAGCTAATCCTCCAACATAGATCAACTTTTTAGGACCTCCTTTTGCTGGACCACCCTCCATTTTTTATCTGAAATCATAAATTTTCTTGAAGAAATTCTGCATATTTTATCCAGTTGTTAAATTGCGAGTTCTTTTTCTCCTGGTTTGAACTGCCCACTTTGGATTTGATCTCGTCTAATGCAATCTGGACACCCAACCTAAAAGAGATACAATGTGTTCATACTTTAGTCTGGACATTGATTTGTGAAGGAACACTGTCACAAACTCTGATTTTCTATTTCTTATATCTTTGCGACCCAATGTCGTAGATCTTATATATTTAAAACTATAATATCTGTAAGATCAATTAGTTTATTACTATTATTATTATTATTATTAAATATCAAAGTTTTACACAATCAGAGCCAAAAACTTTAGAATGGGATATCCAATGCGCAAACTTTTGATTTTCTTCTTAATCCTCTTTTTTGGATATCCCTACTGTATAAAAGTTACGTTTGATAACAATTACAGATACGATGCTATGTCCGATTGAACTAAAGTCAGCTGTTCACAAGCCGGCTTTTAGAGCATTTAAACCAATACAAATTTTATCATGTTAATATGAACTTATTAAAAACATATTTTATCAAATTTGAGGACTATAGCCATTTTGAACGTTAGTCTTAAAAAACATTGATCCACAACTTACGTTCGTTCAATCAATTGATATGACACCATCAACACCAGAAATGCGCAAAAATTAAAAACCGGTTTTTCAAAAGTTAAAGAGCGCATCTCTAATCTCTAGAAATTAATCTGAAGACTAAATTAGTCTTGATATTAGCAAAAAGAGAGGATCAAGTATTTATCTCGATATCCACCATTCTAAAAGGGAATAGAATATTCATTTGAGAAATTTATTAAAATTAGTTTTTAGAGTACAAACAACTTTGGAGTACATTGAAAAGAGGATTTGAATCATGAAGAAACAAACTAACCTGGGATTGAGTTTAGTGTTTATCACAGATTTCAGCCGTCGGAGGAATATGGTTTTAATTTCCGACCCCAGGTTGATGTCAGAGGGAGGGTCTAGAGCTAATACGTAATCAACCCTGCTCCAATCTATGAATTTCTTCATTCTATGGAGAATATAGCATTCAAGGGACATGATCTCAATTTTAGCTAGAATATGCAAATATACGTTGTAAACAGAAGAAATAATTCAAAGATATAAAATGCTATTCCTGTTCAGCGGTGTTTGGAAGAAAGCTCTAACCCTAAAAAAGAATTTTTAATTTCCCTGATATATGAATGAGGAGCGTAGAAGGGTAATTTTTCAGTGGCTCCCATACAACTGTTGAATAGGACGACTTCTAGACTCAAATTATCATTTAAAAATTCCAATAAACACGAAACACAGCAATAGTGGAGTGTATCGTACACAGACCAAATTCACTTTGTGAATTGATTTTAAAGCCACTGGCAAAACTGTTTGATTTTTAACGAACCCAAAAACACATGAGAAATTGCTTAAATTTCGTTTTACTAAATAGATCTGACTGTGGTTTAGATTTAAGTTGTAACCTTCTCTCCTGGTTGAGTAGCTCCACCTTCTCCTCGACCAGTATCAAGGATAAAACCTTCTTCTCCACCAGGTTCCGCTGCAGTATCCTCGTTATCAAGGGAATAAATCTAAAAAATAAGGGACATTTGTTTACCTACTTAGTTCAGTTTTACCCAACAAACAGTTTTACCCACAAAGGATGAGGTTTAAATAACGACCCAAAACTCTTTACAAATTACGATCTGTTGATTGAATAGTGGCTTCAATATAATCTAACTAACTACATTTGATCAAACAAAACTTGTAAGGGTACTGTTATGCATCGGAAATGCCACTTGTTAAGTGAAGGGTGACTTGATCTTACGTTTACAGACCCTTTAAATTAGAAAAATCTAAATATTATGATGAAGGTGTAAAGGGTAAAGGTTAATACAAATGAATGAAGCAATGAAAATAAAACTTTTCATTCAGAATCAAAATAAACAAATCGGTTTGTCTAATAAAAAAACAGATTCGTTAATCCCTTTAAAAAAATAGAAATTTAACTGAATTTCTCATTAATTCTAAAAAATGCCTGTGAGGGTAGAGAATTATTTCAGGTTTCTGAATACTGGAACCTTTCTTTGATGTCTCCTGAAATTAAACAAAATAAAATACTTTTTGCAGTAATAATCTTAAACAGAAAAAAAATCACGATGGCGGCTTAGATAGATAGCCTACAACTGTTTTCAGCCCCCTGTAAGCCTTTGAAATGATTTATTTGCATAGTAGTTTAAGGTTGTATTTGACACAAAACTTAAATTTTTATTAATCATAAAATAATGAACACAATAGAGCATTCATTTATATTTTCCTTTAGGCTGAATTGAACAACAACATCTATTAATACAAAACAAGTTAAAAAGGTTTTTTATTTATAAAAATAAAAGACTATATTGCTCCTTTAAGTAAACAATAAAACATAGTTTTTCTTTAAATATGCAGGGAATTAAACGCCAAAGAAAACGATAGGGATTCAGTCTAAACAAGTATCCGGAAAATAGAGGCCAAACGCAAAGAATAAGGGAGGATGGATGCTTTTTGGTAAAAACTTCATTGTTTATTTTAAACTTTTGATAAATAAACTGATAAATGATACCTTAGTTTGTGAGCTGTAGGTCTCCTGTACATATTTGGCAATAAGTTTCTGCTGATCTGCTCGAGACATGTACAGAAAATTCCTGAACATCGTCAGATAATGGGAGTGTTCGTTAAATAAAAGGTGTGTTCGTTAGATAAAGGGTGTTATTAAGGGAGTGCTCATTAAATTAAGGAAGTGTTCGTTAGATAAAGTTAGAGTTCGTTAGATAAAGTTAGAGTTCTAAAAAGGGACTTTTCTTTAGATAAACAGTGTTCGTAAAAAGAAAGTAAAGGACAAACCATAAATTAATTATGAATTCAATTGTAATCAATTTATGTCACATAACGTAAAATAGATTAATCATCCAATATTGACCTTTTACCCCTTTCAATACAATAAACGACTCAAATTCAGGTAAGTAGGCATTTCGTTTGACAAAATGAGTTTAACTAAATTGAAGTAAGGAGTCGAAAGGGGATGGTGGAGATGTCCTATTTGAAACAATTTCTAATTGTTAAGGTCATTAAAAGTCATTTGAGGTCATTCGAGATCATAAGTGTCAACATTTAAGGAAAATAGGTCACTTATTAGGTGTGCAGCCAAAAATTGGAGATTTGAACCAAAAATGAAGGCAGGGCCCTCCCCCCCTTCATCAAATAGGACATCTCCACCATCCCCTTTTAAGATTTAATTGGTGGATTCAATAAAACGAAAACTGTTCAGTAATTATTTTTTATTGTGAAATTTGTATATTTTTAGTGCTTCTTATACCCTCATTGTTTTATTAAATTTAAATCTTACTTTAAATATATTGGAGAGACAAGATGAATATATTCTTTTCTCTTCTTCAACCATGTGTCCAGGTTGGAGTATTCTCTCCCCTCGGAGCTAGATTCAACCGTCCTGATCCATTCTGATCTCGAGAGATACTCACTTTCTTTACGGATAATCTCAACTCTGCTCCACTCATCCTCTACCCAACCTACAGACACAATGCATATACTTTGAATTATGAAAAATGCTTTACAGCTCTATTTAAACATAATCTGAATGGCCTATAAGTATCGCTTTGGTTACCAGACTTAATTCTTTCGATCATACCCTTATCCTAACTCATGTATTGAACAGTGCTTAGGATCCAGATCCCCTAAATCCGCGACATTTTGGCTTCCTGGATCCGTATCCACAAAAATATACAGATCCACGGATCCGGATCCAAGGGGGAAAATATCAACAACAGGCGAAAAAAATTGAACTCAAAACAAAAATTTAACTGTTGAAAAAAGAGAAAATTTTTTTTTTAATAAATTCATTTTTTTTTATTTATTGTATGATATAGGATGTATACAGGAGCAAGTGTACAACTAATTTACTTAATATTTGAATATAATTAACTATTGTGAATTGATTTTAGATCTACTTTTGTAGTCAGCCCTAGAAATAATTTTCATCATCGGCTTGTAGACGGGTGAATACTATACATATACATCCTAGCTCTAATTTGAATTAAGAAACTAGTAAGTTTAGGATCAAAAGACTCAGGCAGAGAAACTTCTTCTCAAACAGTTTAAAAGTACCTAAAATGATCATCCTAGGTTTTACGTGTCTCATACTTCATATGGAATATATAATCGGAGAAAAACCAAAATTCAAAATATATATTTAGAAAAAAAAAAAATATAATATACAAATAATTTTGTAAAAATTAAGTTTTAAATGAGCCAGTGCTTTGCCATGAAACACCTGGAAACACAATATTTATCAAATTTTCTATTGCTTCCAGATGAGTAAAAAACATCATGACTGGTTGAAACAGATCCACCTATACAAATTACATTAGTTTGTTTTTTCCAACGTCTGAAAAAGTGCCTTTGTGCTGCTGCTGGGGGTTGGTATCCAGCAGTTGATATTGAAGAGGGGCCTATCTTGTTCATCAGATGGAGAGATGCTTCCTTTCAAAGTTGAGGAGCCATTTTTCCCGCAAGGAACCTCGCGTATAAGTAGGTTTACTTCCGGGCACCACCCTATAGATGTCACATCTAGGGACCACACATTTTAAGGGTCACTTCCAGGGACCACGAATGTAAGGTTTCACTTTTCTCCAATATCTTTTGTGTGAGGTGCTGGGTGCTGGTCAGTGGAAAGTTTGCTTAACTTCAGTGATCTAATGAGAACTGGTTACACACTTTTACCATCCCACCCCACTTTCTTAACTCTGAAAGGTCCATGAAGTTTCAGCATGAAAATTCATCATTTGGTTAAAAATCAGTAAATTTTAAAAAAATGTCCCTAATAAAATATTTGTGTCTTTACATTACAAGCACACGGCTGTAAACTGTCAAGTGTACACACATTGTACAATAGTACTACTTAAATACCTTGATGATCATCAGTCTCAGTTGGATTGAGAACAATGATAGGTTCGGTTCTGGTTCTCTGGTATAGTTTACTCTCCGCCAGGACGGAATTTACAGTTCTGTCTCCACCCTCCAACCTCTCCTAGTTCATAACATTTCGATTTTAGGTAATTATTTTAAACTCAGGGTTGCTTCCATTGAATTTTAGGGGCAGGACCATACTGACCAGCCTCTTAAAAACTTTTACAAATTTAGGTGGTGAAATCAACCAAGTTTACAACAAAAAATGACCAGTTGTATAAAAAAATTGAAAAAATCTGAAATTTCCCGAAATCCCAAACATTTGGGAGCTTTTCCAAACATTAGGGAAATTTTCAGAAGCTTGAAATTTTTCAACCTCAAATTTTGAAATGAATTTGGGAAACCGAGAAATTTCCCAAACATTCAGGCATTTGGAGAGTTAGGTTTAAAAAATACCAATAGGCCCAATATCGCTAAATATTTTGTACTTCATGTTAAAACATCTCAATTTTTACTAAAACCGACCCAATAATTTGAACCTGCTCTAATTGGTAAAAATTATCTTTATTTTTTAATTAAAATTTCCAAAATGTTCCTGTAGGCAAGCTTTCACCAGGTCTGAGTATTTATTCTAATCACCAGGATATTTAACAAAAATATACCTCTGCTTTATATATTAAAACTTTTTTTTAAATGTTATGAATGATTTAATTTTTATGTTTAACAAAGTTTTCAAAAAAAAAATCACATGACAATAATCTATCATAAGGTAGAACTTAAATTTGCAGAACAGTTACTTTGCGACCTCGTAACGTTTCCATTTTTTATTTAAAACTAAGAGCGACGAAATCAAACTTTTTTTTGTTGTATATAACTAAAACTTTTTCTTTTTCTTATCAAAAAGTCTTCAAAAAAAGAATTATGTTGTAGGCTACTAGGCATACAAGATCTAAAACCAAATTAAGATTAATGTGATATATCCCTTCTCTCCGAAGAGTAGGTTAAGCAGGACCAGTTTACGTCCTAGGAGATGGGTTGGGCAGTTGATCAGATCTTCACAGGACTGATCAAACCACCAGTTCAACCTTAACAAACACCATCATATAATCATATTTAATATTAAAATAACGACACAAAAAAATATTTGTCAATTTAGATATTTCTAACAATTAATTTTGCTAAATCAAAAAGTCAAAGTTCATAATAGAAAAGGTTCCCAATTTAAACCATTAGGTTACAAAGATATATGGATTACAAAATACGAGTTTGAGAGAAATTATCAATTTCTTTGAACGATTCAAAAACAAATATTTAGACAAAAATGATGCAGAAATTTAAACATTTGATTTAGCAAAAATAGATATTTACACAGAGTCGTCAAAATAAAGTGGATTTTAGAGACGATCTTAAATCAATTTTAAGAGCACATATTTACTGATGTTTTCAAACAAACAAACATTAATTGTATCTTAAAATTAGTTTTACGGGGGTGCAGAAGTCAGATGTGTTTTATTAGGGTTTTATTCGCTGAGTTGGGAAAACAAATATTTTTGGGTAAACGTTTAAAAAAAGTTGAAATTATTTTGCTCTTTGATGTCGGATTATTTTTTCTCGCTCCCCAGACTATCGAAAATTATTTTTTAAATGATATGATATGTTTCAAAAGTATTTCCACCCTAAAAGTCGTCAGTGTTTTCCCATATTTTATGTTGACCACTGTACCTGGTGTTAAATATATCTAGAACTGTATCCGGTTGATTCAAGGTTTGTACAACCTGGAGAACTGAATTCACAAGAAGATCCCAGGCTTCTATATTAGTCATATTCTCCTTCAAATCCAGGAACCCAACTAAACAGTTAAATATCATCAACTATTTCAAATCTAAAACCATTGAAAAGGCCTTAGATTTAGCAATGAATATTCTAAGCTGCTAATTTATAAATAGAATTTTTTATAATATAATAACTGGGAAATGGGGAGGTTTGAATCAAAATGCAAAAATTACACTGAAATCCAATCCTTTTATAATTATTGTATAAATCTAAAAGAGTCTTCTATGTTACTTGTCTAGGGGTAACAATGCAAAACTATGAATCAAAAATATAATTTATTATTTTTAATCTTTTAGTTCATTTAAGGTTAAGAGGTTTGTTGTTCAAGTTCTACCTATTTTCTCTACAATCCCAGCATGGTCTAAACCTCCAGTGGCAGTTGGTAATGATTCATCGTCATTACTTCCTAAACTCTCATCTAGGTTCTCATCTTTCCGTAATAGGGCCTAGAATATATATCTGATTTCACAGAATGTTCATCCAGAACAGAGATTATGGAGCCACATAGAAATAGAAATGATCCTATTGTTGTGGATGCACATATTAGACCCTTTATGCATTATGTTAACGCACAACTTAGATCCTTTATGTATGATGTAGACGCACAACTTAGATCCTTTATGTATGATGTAGACGCACAACTTAGATCCTGTATGTATAATGTAGACGCACAACTTAGATCCTGTATGTATGATGTAGACGCACAACTTAGATCCTGTATGTGTGACGTGAACGCACAACTTAGATCCTGTATGTATGATGTGGAAGCACAACTTAGATCCTGTATGTATGATGTGGAAGCATAACTTAGATCCTGTATGTATGATGTAGACACACAACTTAGATCCTGTATGTATGATAGGGACGCACAACTTATATCCTGTATGTATGATGTAGACGCACATCTTAGATTCTTTATGCATTATGTGGACGCATAACTTAGATCCTGTATGTATGATGTAGACGCACAACTTAGATCCAGTATGTATGACGTGGACGCAGAACTTTGATCCTGTATGTATGATGTGGACGCACAACTTAGATCCTGTATGTATAATGTAGACGCACAACTTAGATCATGTATTTTTTGACTTGGACGCAAAAACTTAGATCCTGTAAGTATGATGTGGACGCACAACTTGTATCCTGTATGTATAACGTAGACGCACAACTTAGATCATGTATGTTTGACAGGGACGCACAACTTAGATCTTGTATGTATGATGAGGACGCACAACTTAGATCCTGTATGTATGATGAGGACGCACATTTTCTTTGTTTACCTGACAGAAAGAAATGATCCTATAGTTGTGGATGCACATCTTAGACCCTTTCTGCATTATGTTGACGCACAACTTAGATCCAGTATGTATGATGGGGACGCACAACTTAGATACTGTATGTATGATGTAGACGCACAACTTAGATCCAGTATGTATGATGTGGACGCACAACTTATATCCTGTATGTATGATGGGGACGCACAACTTAGATCCTGTATGTATGATGTGGACGCACAAATTAGATTCTGTATGTATGATGTAGACGCACAACTTTGATCCTGTATGTATGATGGGGACGCACAACTTAGATCCTGTATGTATAATGTAGACACACAACTTAGATCCTGTTTGTATGATGTGGACGCACAACTTAGATCCTGTATTATGATGAAGACGCACAACTTAGATCCTGTATGTATGATGTGGACGCACAACTTAGATCATGTACGTATGATGAAGACGCACAACTTAGATCCAGTATGTATGATGTGGACGCACAACTTAGATCCTGTACGTATGATGTGGACGCACAACTTAGATCCTGTATGTATGATGGGGACGCACAACGTAGATCCTGTATGTATAATGTAGATACACAACTTAGATCCTGTATGTATGATGAGGACGCACATTTTCTTTATTTACCTGACAATATTGAACAACAAATTGTTCATGAGGAAACTCTGAGCTACCACTCTCTGACATAATATGTATGTTTACACCAAACCAAAACAAACCAAAACAAACCAAAAAAACCAAAACAAACCAAAACAAACCAAAACAAACCAAAACAAAACAAACCAACACAAACCAAAAAAAAACAAAAAAACCAAAAAAACCAAAACAAATCAAACCAACACAAACCAAAACAAACCAAAACAAACCAAAACAAACCAAAACAAACCAAAACAAATCAAACCAACACAAACCGAAACAAACCAACACAAACCAAAACAAACCAAAGCAAACCAAAAAAAACCAAAACAAACCAAAACCAATCAAAACAAATCAAACCAACACAAACCAAAACAAACCAAAACAAACCAAAACAAATCAAACCAACACAAACCGAAACAAACCAACACAAACCAAAACAAACCAAACCAAAAAAAACCAAAACAAACCAAAACAAACCAAAACAAACCAAAGCAAACCAAAACAAATCAAACCAACACAAACCAAAACAAACCAAAACAAACCAAAACAAACACCCAAACCAAACCAAACCAAACCAAAAAAACCAAACCAAACCAAACCGAACCAAAACAAAACAAAACATACCAAACCAAAACAAACCAACACAAACCAAAAAAACCAAAAAAAACCAAAAAAACCAAAACAAATCAAACCAACACAAACCAACACAAACCAAAACAAACCAAAACAAACCAAAACAAACCAACACAAACCGACACAAACCAACACTAACCAAAACAAACCAAAACAAACCAAAACAACACAAACCAAAACAAACCAAAGCAAAACAAAACAAACCAAAACAAACCAAATCAAATCAAACCAACACAAACCAAAACAAACCAAACCAAAACAAACCAACACAAACCAAAACAAACCAAAACAAACCAAAACAAACCAAAACAAACCCAAACAAACCCAAACCAAAACAAACCCAAACCAAAACAAACCAAAAAAACCCAAAAAAATCAAACCAACACAAACAAACCAACACAAACCAAAACAAACCAAAACAAATCAAACCAACACAAACCAAAACAAACCAACACAATTCAAAACAAACCAAAGCAAACCAAAAAAACCAAAACAAACCAAAACAAACCAAAGCAAACCAAAACAAACCAAAGCAAACAAAAACAAACCAAACCAACACAAACCAACACAAACCAAAACAAGCCAAAACAAACCAAAAAAAACCAAAACAAACCAAAACAAACCAAAACAAACCAAAACAAACACAAACCAAACCAAAACGAACCAAACCAAACCAAAATAAAACAAACCAAACCAAACCGGACCAAAACAAAACAAAACATACCAAACCAAAACAAACCAAACCAAAACGAACCAAAAAAATCAAATTAAATGTAGGAAGTATGGTCACCATTTGTAGGTCGGATGGTCACGGTTTGTTCAATTGAAATAATTTTTTTATTTGTTTAAAAATTACCTCCTTTCAAGTTTTAAAAAATATAAAATAATATATGCTGTATTTTATATAGGACATCCAATTTAAACACCCCACAATTCAAAACTGAGATGACCTGCCATTACAATGTTCAGGGATATACACAAAGGATGAGACTGTAGAGACGAGAGTGCAGAATTTATGCTTTCTGTTTCCTAATATCCATGATTCCTTGCAACTATAAACTTCTTTCTTTCTTTGCTAAAACATTTAAATTAGCCATTTAAAGGCAACATTCAAGGACGAAGACTTAATTCAAATAAAAAACGGTTTCAAGTCTTTTTTTACTGTCTCATCCTGTGCATTTAAAAGAAACCATATCATTGAAGTGTTTAATACAATAATGTTTCCTAGAGCACTCAGTATAGTTTCTTCCTCACATTGCTGATCCTTGAGAAACGCTACAAGGGTTTCATGAGCCCTGAACAGTTAACAATTAACAAACATAATAAGGATATTTCATTCATCTTTGATCGGACAAAGGTGTATATTTTATGTAAATTTAAGTTCATTTTTACAATTATTTTCCCGGGGTAATGTTCACGAAATCGGTTTGCTGACCTTTTCTTAAGTAAGAATGAATTCTATTTTAGGCTGAACCAAAGAGCTATGCTTGTGTATACTTGAGTAAGAATGGATTCTATTTTAGGATGGATCCAAGAGCTATGTCTTTGTATACTTGAGTAAGAATAGATTATATTCTAGGATGGATCCAAAAACTATGTCTTTGTATACTTAAGTAAGAATGAATTCTATTTTAGGCTGGACCAAAGAGCTATGCTTGTGTATACCTGAGTAAGAATGAATTCTATTTTAGGCTGAACCAAAGAGCTATGCTTGTGTATACCTGAGTAAGAATGGATTCTATTCTAGGATGGACCAAAGATCTAAATTTATGTGCACCTGAGTGAGGTTGGATTCTGTTTGGTATACCAAGTTAACAGCTTCACACAACCCTCAACATCCCTAAAACCATCATTGTCTATCTCAGACTCAAATTGTTTTGAATTAAATATGATTAAAAGGTTTCCGGGGCGCTTTGCGTCAATATTTATAGAATTAACTTCAAATTCTTAACGTTAGTCGGACGAGTGTTCAATATCCATATCCATATATATCCATATATATATCGTATAATTTCTGTTTGTTTGTATGTCAGATCATTGCTCAGGAACCCCTGGACCAATTCGCATCAAATTTTGATTTGGGAACTCGGTAGAACCATGGACGTAGGACGTGTTTTAAGATCGGGTTTATAAGTCTAAGAGGGTGAGTTGAGTTTTAAAGAGAAAGTGTATTTTTCTTGCAATCTTGAGTTCCCAAGCATGTAAAAAAATAGATATTTATTAATCGTTATTTCAACTCAAAACAATCCTTAGGAACATGTTCACTCAATGGGTTCAGCCGTTTAGACATAAAATGTATGCAGACCAAAAAAACTAAAAAAACGGACAATGTAAATGCAATTATATATTAATGTTCCAGCCAAACAGTCGAGAAGCTGTGCATCTTACTTCAACATTTACTTTAAAGGGACTCAGAAGTAAATTCAAGTTTAAAGAGTGGCATACCCGATTTACGAGGGTACCTGAACTTAAAACCTCTGAGGAACAATGAATAAGTATCAGTATTTTCTATCTTAAAACGTGTATAATTCTGACATATTTCTTTTCATTATCTTTTTAGCATAAATGCTTAAGTCATCTTTGTAAAGAAAACACAATTGAAAATAAAAAAAAAGATTTCTCATTAATCCTTAAAAAGAGAAAGGTTTAAAAGGGTACCGTTGTAAATTGGACATGCCAATCAATATACAGAGGGTCACTTGAAATATCGTCTATGGTTCCTTTGATAAGAAGGTCTGAAGAGTTTAAGTGAGAAGACGGTTCCTGTATTCAGTAAGATACCAGGAGTAGAGAGGAAGGATGAAATCAAAGTTTCCTTTACTTTTCTCCAATAGTTCATTCATATCCTTAACAGTAGCAAAATAAGATAAGAGTCGTAGGTTTCCCAAAAATACAAATTTAATCAATGAAAAAAAGAACCACGAAATTTTGGATTATTTTTCTAGATGGTCACAGTTTAGGAGCATATTAATTATATTTTTACCATGATGACGGCTTCAGAAAGAATGTTCATATGTGATGTAGTTTCATTCATTCTAGATCCACACTGAGTCAAGAATTTGCAACTTGCAAGAATAAGCAATATTCATATATTTTTATTTTAGATTTTAGAGTTTTTTGTTTTCCTTTTCTTGATTCAGTTTCCTGTTGCTTTCTACTTTCTCTTGAACGGAAATCATTTCCAGCATTGTCTTCAATATCCGCAGCTCCTCCGATACATGCCTAATCAGTGAACATTATCTTCCGATACATGCCTAATCAGTGNATCAGTCAACATTATCCTCCAATACATGTATAATCAGTCAACATTATCCTCCAATACATGTATAATCAGTCAACATTATCCTCCAATACATGTATAATCAGTCAACATTATCCTCCAATACATGTATAATCAGTCAACATTATCCTCCAATACATGTATAATCAGTCAACATTATCCTCCAATACATGTATAATCAGTCAACATTATCCTCCAATACATGTATAATCAGTCAACATTATCCTCCAATACATGTATAATCAGTCAACATTATCCTCCAATACATGTATAATCAGTCAACATTATCCTCCAATACATGTATAATCAGTCAACATTATCCTCCAATACATGTATAATCAGTCAACATTATCCTCCAATACATGTATAATCAGTCAACATTATCCTCCAATACATGTATAATCAGTCAACATTATCCTCCAATACATGTATAATCAGTCAACATTATCCTCCAATACATGTATAATCAGTCAACATTATCCTCCAATACATGTATAATCAGTCAACATTATCCTCCAATACATGTATAATCAGTCAACATTATCCTCCAATACATGTATAATCAGTCAACATTATCCTCCAATACATGTATAATCAGTCAACATTATCCTCCAATACATGTATAATCAGTCAACATTATCCTCCAATACATGTATAATCAGTCAACATTATCCTCCAATACATGTATAATCAGTCAACATTATCCTCCAATACATGTATAATCAGTCAACATTATCCTCCAATACATGTATAATCAGTCAACATTATCCTCCAATACATGTATAATCAGTCAACATTATACTCCAATACATACTTTATCAGTAAACGTTATCCTCCGATACATGCCTAATCAGTAAACACCTCCGATACATGCCTCATCAATAAACACAATCCTCCGATACATACCTAATCAGTTAACATTATCCTCCGATACATGCCTAGCCCTAATCTGTTAACATTATCCTTCAACACATGCCTAATCAGTAAACATTATCTTCCGATACATGCCTAATCTGTAAACATAATCTTCCGATACATGCCTAATCCGTAAACATAATCCTCCGATACATGCCTAATCAGTGAACATTATCTTCCGATACATGCCTAATCGTTTACATTATCCTCCGATACAAGCCTTATCAGTAAACATTGTCCTCCGATCCGATACATGCCTAATCAGTGAACATTATCTTCCGATACATGCCTAATCTGTAAACATAATCTTCCGATACATGCCTAATCAGTAAACATAATCCTCCGATACATGCCTAATCAGTTAACATAATCCTCCAATACATTCATAATTAGTTTACATTATCCTCCGATACAAGCCTTATCAGTAAACATTGTCCTCCGATACATGTCTAGCCCTAATCTGTTAACATTATCTTTCAATACATGCCTAATCTGTAAACATTATCCTCCAAAATATGCCTAAGCATCAAACATTGTCCCCCGATAAAAACCTATTCAGTAAACATTAAATTAGTCATTAATTTACACAAATCTTATCATTTTCCCAGTTTACAGTCTAATGAAGAATAAGATCACTAAGTAACAAAAAATGGAATTATTACCTATGTTTTGAATTTAATTTAGCCATTAAACTGAGGCTGTTAGCTGCCTCCACTGCCCCAAGGTTAACTAGATGGATTAGACAGGTGGAGAGAACACCTTCAAACCACGTCCACCCGCATACAATCTCACCAAACTAATCAATAGTCAATCATGAGAAGATGCATGATATTGAATTGATAGGAAATGAGGCGGATAGTAAATGAGGCTAATTGCAAGTGAGTTGATAGCAAATGATCATGCTCCTACTGATGTATGTATCTCTGATCTAACATAATGGGAAGCTACACGAGTATTGATACAATCAAGTACATTACTTACTGATTTATGTTTCTCTGCTCTAACATAAGGAGAAGATATATGAGTATTGATACAATCCAGTACACTACTTACTGATTTGTGTATCTCTGCTCTAAGATGAGGAGAAGATAAATGAGTATTGATACAATCCAGCACATTACTTACTGATTTATGTATCTCTGCTCTAAGATGAGGAGAAGATATATGAGTATTGATACAATCCAGAACCATGTACCCTAGGCTGTCGTTGACGTATCTGTTGTTCTGTACATAAGTATTCCTGAACAAATCACACAAAATTAAAATATAATAAAGATCATGAATAACAGTAAAAGGTTTTATTATAAAACTTGGTCATGAATGTATGAAATCACTTCTGAACAATACTTTTATGTCAACATTGTGTCAAAGATATGATTAGATGATGTTTTTTCCCGCCACATAATTATAAGGATTTTAACGACAAATTTTAACTTTGAGGATTTGTTTGGGGGAAATTTTGGAAAAGGTTGCGTGTAATTTTCATTTTCCCCCCAGAGATTGAAAGTGGATGTGGTAGTTCTTATGTCATAGTCATATAGAATGCGCTTGTGGTTTCGTTTAAATAAACGGCATGCTTATAGTAGTTGATTTACAATAACCACTGTACCGCTTACCAAAAGAGAGCACTGTCAGAATTGGAAATTACACAATTTAACGATCATGAATCCGTTTCATCTTTATCTGTTTGGAAAAGCTTACATCTGGTTGGATTTTGAAGAGAAGAGTTGAACATCTGAAGTTAAAGCTGAGAAGATTAAGGAACAGGTTGAACTAGTTTCTCCTCTTCCCTTCAACATTCGTAGATTCCTCTAACATTCAAAACATTATTTTCCGGTTGTTTGGTCTTTTAAAATGTTTTAAAGGAATTGTTGATGTAATTTCATGCGACCCTTCATTTATAATTGGCATATCCAATGCACAACGGTACCTATTAAACATTGAATTATTTAAAAAATTGTAATTTATCATAAATAAAATTAATCAATATTCAAATTGAAAAATAAGAATATCAGGTTATCGAACGTGCCAATCACTTGAAATAACGTCCACAGTACCTTTAATCATTGAAGACCCCGGACCAGATTAATATTTTTTATTATAGATTTATTTCTTAAACAAAGGTAAAATGGTACAATATGATAAGACAATAATAAAATAGATAATAAAAATATGATATTATTAGTATTTATTCCTAACCTCTAATTCGGCGCAGAAACATTTCCATCTTGTGGTTAACTGATCACCTAAAAATAAAGTAACGTCACAAAAATATTGCCTGGAACTATGACGATAGGATAAGTAGTTTACATGTTCGGAAAAAAAATTTCCTACAAAAAATTCTAATGTTTTAAGAATTGTAATAAAATATCCCAGTTAAATTTATAATATTTCGGTGGAATAAAACCCAAGATGAAAAAATGACTGACTTTTTATTTACCTTCTTTTTTATTAGTTTTAACCCGAGACCTGAATCCAGGACCTTCAATTTTCTTCAATACAGAGGGACGTGTAAACAGTTCGGAGAGGTCGTCGTAGGGAGACCTTTAAACATTAATAATATCAAATTATGCTGCGATTAGCATCCGACACATTTTGATGCAAATCCAAGTTAGTCCTTTACAAAATTAAATTCTTTATGATAAATATTATATAAGAAACCCCTCGCCATTTTGTATCACACCTTCTAAATCTTCTGAACACCTTACACCTTCATCTCATATTTATTAAACATTCTTAACAATCAACGCCATAAATCAAAGACATCGTTTAACCATCGTCCTAATCGTCATTGTACTGTTGAATATGAGACAAATCGTTCATGCAAAAAAAACGGAACGAAGCTTTTTTAAACGGAATAATTTTAAAAAACTAACGATGATGCTGTAGGCCCTAGTTAACTCACGTATAACGAACGATTCCAAAATCACGAACGTGCCCAGCACTATGTAACGTTTATATGCGTGTTCTAGTGTAACCTGTGCCGACTATTAACTGAATGTTTATGTGTTTATGTTTTGAAGAAAATAGTTAAACCATGAAAAGTACTATGGGCACTGGGCAGTGGGCAGAACAGGCACTAGACATCATTAACTATTTTTAGTGCGAATATCCTTAAATATCCAGCTAAATCCAGATATCCGTACTGTAAGCTGAAAGTAACAACCAATAAAATAAGCAAAAACAAAGTGTACTTGCCTTAGTACGCGAAAATATAGAATTTTGAAAGCCCGGTCATATTTTCTGATTTCTCCTACCGTGTTCTCCGTACAGATCCACCTCCACTTTCTATGCTGGTCACACCAAGGGTAGAGTTAGAATACGTTCTTGTTCTCTTTTTAACCCCGAACCTTCTCCGAACCCTCTGATCCTTCTGGTTCTTCTCCTCTCCGGGTACAGGTTCAGATACAGTGTCAGGCACAGCGCCATACTCGGAGTTCGTCTCAGAGGGGGCCTAAACATACAAAAATTAATCAAATTTATTATGATTATGTGGTATAAGAAGTAAAATAATAATAATATTGATATAAATATGGCAAACATAAACAATACATAATATGAATGCTTCGTTCTTAATAAGGAAAGAAAGTTTAACTTAATAATCATTTTCAAAGATATCCAAAAACGATTGAGATTGACAGCAAAAGCGTAGAATAAAATAAAAATTTCTTTCTAAAAGACAGACAACGTGTGAAGTATTACATCGTATCTAACAATCCAAGCAATTATCTATAAAGACTCGGTGCTTAGGATCCATTTTATTTAAATATGAATCCTGAATACGCCCTAACCCAGCTCATGAATATTTTTTTATGTTTTAAATTATTTGTTTTACCGAAAACAAACGTTGTTTCATCAATACTTAAATTGCAAAGTATTGAATGATACGATATAACACGAGATATCTGGAAAGAAGCCCCGGCCCATCTATAATTAATTGACCCTTAAAAAAAAATTTTGCCCCTTGGATCCGGAGTTCAGAGAGTTTAAATGTTGCGGATCCACGGAATCATAAATATTGTTTAAAGTTGAATGAATTGAAAAATATATCTGGAGAGCAAATAAAATAATGTACAAATCATGATAGAAGTTGATGGAGATTGAAATTCACTAGTTTGGTAAGTAATATTCATAATAATAGTGCATAGTACATACCCATATAAATTTTATAGCCAAAGTTTTAGCTTACAAACAGGGAGGTAACAAATAGTATAAAATATTTTTAAAAAATTGAACTAAGGACATCAATTAAAAAAAAATAAATGATTAAGAGAAAAAAGTCTTAACATTTTTTTAAATTTTATTTTTTCTTTACCGCGGTCGTTTATAAAATCTGAATTGAGAACAAACTAATTCAGTTCAAGCTCAACGCTGAACATAGAATCATGAACTTGGTTCAAGCTCTAGTTTTATTATCAGGTAAATCATGAACTTGGTTCAAGCTCTAGTTTTATTATCAGGTAAATCATGAACTTGGTTCAAGCTCTAGTTTTATTATCAGGTATATCATGAACTTGGTTCAAGCTCTAGTTTTATATCAGGTAAATCATGAACTTGGTTTAATTTTGCAGTTCTTGTTATATACAGTCGTTACAGTACGTAGACGTATATTAAAGAGTGGCATAAACGATTCACAAGGGTACACGGAACCTTAACCTTTTTTACTGATCATGGATGAATGAGATATTATTGGGATTCTAGCTAAAATTGATTATGCTCAATTGTGAATTTTCTATTAACGGGACTTGCGAATTAAAGTTATGGAAACAAGGCAAGAAATAATCAGAATTAAACGACAATAATTTTCAATTTGTTACTCTGATACATACTTAAAGGGAACCTTTGTGAATAGAACATGTCAGTCTATAAATGGAGGGTGACATGAAATTATGTCAACAATTTCATTCATTTCCAGCTTCTTTTAGAATATTCCATAAAAAAGTTGTCATTATTTTTTATTTTATTAGATTTCCTTTCCCTGTCTAATGTCTGGAAAAGTAAGAACTTGCTAAATTTTTAGTTTAATATGATAAAAATAATAAAGAAAATAAAAAATAATAACAATATTAACGATAATAGGAACTATTAATAAAAATTAAAAAAAGATAAAACAAATAATAATAGCATTAATAATAACATAATAATAATACATTTATTTCCGGTCCAGGAATCGCCTGTACATTTGGAGAGGAGGGGTGCAAGGAAAGAGACGCTAAGTGCAAGGTTAGAATGTTTACTTGATTTTGCAACTTAAAGGGACTGTTAAGGAAAAATGAAAGGGGGTATAGGATAAAACCTGAGAATTTCAGGTTTTGAACGATACCTATAAGACATCTATCTTATGTTTCTGTCTCGAGAAATTGATACAAAACTGTGTCAAAATTATACCAAAAAGGACATAGGTCAGATTTTGTATAAAACAGATCATATTTAACAACATAAGATAGATGTCTGATAGGTATTGTTCAAAACCAGAGATTCTCAGGTTTTATCCTGTACCCCCTTTTATTTTTCCTTTACAGTCCCTTTAGAATAAACAGTGGCCGAATTTAAAGAATTTAAGCGGCGGTTTAAATTTAAGCCGCGGTTTAGATATGGTTGGTTTCACTTAAAATTGTATCAAATGTTTCAAGATTTAAGCCGGCGCTTAATTTAAACCGGGTTTTGGCGGATTTAAACCGCGGCTCAAATTCTTTAAATTCCATCTCTGGTCTCACAATATAACGAGTAATGGGATATTAGACCATATCGGATATATAAAAAACACGCATTTTTCTAATTGAATTGAATTATATTGGTATCTTTTTGGCTGAAATACAGTCTTATTCTAAATGAAGCGGAATTTGTTGACAATGAAAGAAGACTTTGAATTCGTCTTTAATCTAAATAAATCCTAAATAAATCTGTTCTACTTTCGTAATTTACCAATAAAACGAAACCAAAATTCTAATTCTTAAAAAAATAGTTAATATCTCCAGAAATTATGAAAGCACAAAAGAGCAGACCGCTTATTTTTTTGAAATTTTTCTAAAATTAGGTTGACAAATGCAAGTCTAACTCTATTTCAAAGATCTTAAAGAATATCGATGTACGCGAAATAGCACCGGTAAAAAAGCACGTTGTGTTAAGTACACTGTGCAGCCAAGTGATAATTATAAATGGCCTTCTTCTAAACAATAAAATCAAAGTCGTATTCACTCCTTCATTTTCAAACATAACCCTTTTAATGTTCTTGCTTATTTTTATATGTTTATGGAAACACCCTGTTCAGGTTCTAGGGGGAGAATGTTCGACTATTCTACCGTCTGAACACCATATTTCTCTTGGACCCTGTCAACAGGATAACTTTGGGGACGGAGGAAGCTGTTTTATTCATTGCCAAGGCAAGCCCTGTGTCACTGAGTGTGGGAGAAACGGAACCTGTGCTCCGGACCCACCCGGAGAGGGTTTTATTGCTGTAGGAACCTGCTCAGAGTCAAGTTGTTCCTGCTGGGCAGAAGAAAATCTAACAGATGACAACTCATCAGGTTTGTAAAATCCTCTTTTTTTTGAGCTAAGATATTTAAACCTGAGTAAACCCCAGCTTTTGCGTCGATTTACGCCAGAGTAAAGCCCAAGCCAAGACTTTTGCTTTAGCTAGACTACGTTTTAGTAAAAACCAATCCGATCTTTAAAATAATATATAAAAGTTCAAATTTCCAAACAATTATAAGGAATTGAAAGCGAGTTTGGCGTAACAAAAGTTTGGTCTTTACTTTAAAAATCTGAGCTCATGACTTGTTTTAACCGTCTTATACTTACTTAGACGACAATCAGACTCCTGGAATACTAAATTTTACAGAGAAACAAAATAACAATATTGAGAATGAAGATGATATCCAAGAAACCATTACGAGGGCTCTTGAAGATACTGATCTAGACAATTCTGATGTTGAACTTCCAAAGGAGAACTTGGCAGTAAAAATGTTTGGAGGAAAAACTGGAAAAATAAATAAAAGGAAAAAAGACGAAAATACAGAGGAGGAAGGAAATATGAGAAAAAGCAAAAATAAGAAATTTGGAATATTTGGTGGTCAACTTGGAAGAAGAAACTTAAATACAGATTTAGGAATAGATTTTATTCAAAATAGAAGAATTAATGAATATGAAGATAGAAGAACAGCAGGAGCAAATGATGAAGACAGAAGAACAGAAGTTGAAGATAGAACAGATACTTATGGGGATAGAAGAACGGGAGGAACAGATGATGAAAACAAAAGAAAAGACGTTGAAGATAGAACAGATGCTTATGAAGATAGAAGAACAGATGTTGAAGATATAAGGACAGATAATGACGAAGATATAAGAACAGATAATGATGAAGATATAAGATCAGATGTTAAAGATAGAACATATGCTTATGAAGATATAAGAACAGATGTTGGAGATGGAACAGAAAATTATGAAGATGTAAGAAACGATGATTATGAAGATGTAAGAAAAGATGATGATGAAGATATAAGAACAGATGTTGAAGATATAAGAACAGATGCTTATGAAGATATAAGAACAGATGTTGAAGATATAAGAACAGATGCCTATGAAGATTTAAGAACATATGATCACGAAGATGAAAGAACAGATGTCTATGAAGATAGAAGAACAGATAATGATGAAAATAGAATAACAGATGATGTAGCTAAAAGAACAGATGATAATGAAGATAGAAGAACAAAAAACAAAGATAGCAAATCAAAGGATAAAAAGGATAGAATAACAGATAATATTGAAGATGGAAGAGCAGATGATGAAGAATATAGAAGAAGAAAGGATGGGGATAAAACTATAAGAAAGGAAAGTGAAGAAGACGAAAAAAAGAATGACGATAAAGAAAAAATTGAGGGAAAGAATGAAAATAAAAAGGTCTGGGGTGAAAACATAAGGATGGAAAGTGTTAAAGGGGACAGAAAGGATATGGAGGAAACAGATGGAAAAAATGACAATAAAAGCAACGATAGAAGAAAGAATGGCGATGAAAAGAGAAAAAAGGACGGGGATGAATATAGAAGAAAAGATAGGGACGAGATAAGACAGGATGGGGATGGATACAGAAGAAAGGATGGGGATGAATATAGAAGAAAGGATGGGGATGAATACAGAAGAAAGGATGGGGATGAATACAAAAGAAAGGATGGGAATGAATACAAAAGAAAGGATGGGGATGAATACAGAAGAAAGGACGGAGATGAATACAGAAGAAAGAATGGTGATCAATATAACAGAAAGGACAGGGATGAAAGAAGAATGGATGAGAATGAATACAGAAGAAAGAATGGGGATGAGAGAAGAAAAGATGGAGACGATTACAGAGGAAAGGACTGGGATAAAAGAAGATGGGATGGAGATGAAAATGAAAGAAAGGACTGGGATGAGATAAGAAATTATAGGGATGAGTATAGCAAGACCTGGAATGAGTACCGAAGAAAGGATGGGGGTGAATATAGAAGAAGGAGTGACAGTGATTACATAAGAAAGAATGGGAATCAATATGAAAGAAAGGACTGGGATGAAAGAAGAGAGGATGGAGATGAATATGAAAGAATGGATTGGGATGAACGAAGTAAGGATAAGAATGAATACAGAAGAAAAGATAGAGATGAAGAAAGAAAGGATAGAGATGAAAAAAGAAAGGATGGAGATGTAAGAAGAAAGGATGGAGATGAAAGAAGAAGAGATGGAGATGAAAAAAGAAAGGATGGAGATGAAAAAAGAAAGGATGGAGATGAAAGAAGACAGGATGGAGATGTTAGAAGAAAGGATAAAGATGAAATAAGAAAGGATGGAGATGTAAGAAGAAAGGATGGAGATGTAAGAAGAAGGGATGGAGATGAAAAAAGAAAGGATGGAGATGAAAGAAGACAGGATGGAAATGAAAGAAGACAGGATGGAAATGTAAGAAGAAAGGATGGAGATGAAAAAAGAAAGGATGGAGATGAAAAAAGAAAGGATGGAGATGAAAAAAGAAAGGATGAAGATGAAAGAAGACAGGATGGAGATGTAAGAAGAAAGGCTGGAGATGAAAGAAGACAGGATGGAGATGAAAAAAGAAAGGATGGAGATGAAAGAAGACAGGATGGAGATGTAAGAAGAAAGGATGGAGATGAAATAAGAAAGGATGGAGATGAAAAAAGAAAGGATGGAGATGAAAAAAGAAAGGATGGAGATGTAAGAAGAAAGGATGGAGACGAAAATAGAAGAAAGGATGGAGATGTAAGAAGAAAGGATGGAGACGAAAATAGAAGAAAGGATGGGGTTGAGTATGGAAGAAAGGAAAGAAAGAACTGGGATGATAAAGGAATGCATGGGAATGAAGAAATAAAAGATGGAGATGAATATAGAAGAAAGGATGGAGATGAATATAGAAGAAAGGATGGAGATGAATATAGAAGAAAGCATGGAGATGAATACAGAAGAAAGGATGGAGATGAATACAGAAGAAAAGCAGGAGATGAATACAGAAGAAAAGATGGAGATGAATATAGAAGAAAGGATGGAGATGAATACAGAAGAAAGGATGGAGATGAATATAGAAGAAAGGATGGAGATGAATACAGAAGAAATGATGGAGATGATTACAGAAGAAAGGATGGAGATGAATATACAGAAGAAAGGATGGAGATGAATATAGAAGAAAGGATGGAGATGAATACAGAAGAAAGGATGGAGATGAATACAGAAGAAAGAATGGAGATGAATACAGAAGAAAGGATGGAGATGAATATAGAAGAAAAGATGGAGATAAATACAGAAGAAATGATGGGGATGAAGAAATTAAGGATGAGAATGAATATATGAGAGGAGATTAAGAAGAAAATGGAAAAATTAACAATGTATACAGAGGAAAATACAGCCATGAATACAGAAGGAGAAATGAGAAGGTTAATCCTGCAGTAAGAGGAACATTTGAAAATGATAATAAAAGAAAAAACGGATTTGAATACATCAGAAAATATTGGAGAGAAAATAGAAAGGATGGAGAAAATGCTGAAAAAGAAAAACAAAGATTCGATAGTCTGAAAAGAGAGAATAGATATGGGAGAAAGGAAGCCAATGGAGATTATGGGAGAAAGGAAGCCAGTGAAGAATATGGGAGAAAGGACGCCAATGAAGAATATGGGCGAAAGGACGCCAATGAAGAATATGGGAGAAAGGACGCCAATGAAGAATATGGGAGAAAGGATGCCAGTGAAGAATATGGGAGAAAGAATAAAGGAAAACATGGGAGAACAAGTGCAAGAAGAGAATATTGGAGTAAGGACAGCGATGAAGAATATCAGAAAAAAGAAAGCAGAGAAGAACTTGGAAGAAAGAATGAAAAGAAACATGAGATAACAGGAGCAAGAGGAGAATATAGGAAAGAGAATAATAATCAAGAATATGAGATAAGAGGAGGATACGAGAGAACACGTGCAAGAGGAGAATTTGGAAGGAAGGATAATATTAAAGAATACGAGAGAAAGTATAACAATGGAGAATATGGGAGAAAGGACGCCAGTGAAGAATATGGGAGAAAGAATGAAGGAAAGTATGGGAGAACAAGTGCAAGAAGAGAATATTGGAGTAAGGACAACGATGAAGAATATAAGAAAAAAAAAAGCAGAGAAGAACGTGAAAAGAAACTTGAGATAATAGCAGCAAGAGGAGAATATAGGACAGAGAATAATAATGAAGAATATGAGATAAGAGGCGGATACGAGAGAACACGTGCAAGAGGAGAATTTGGAAGGAAGGATAATATTAAAGAATATGAGAGAAAGTATAACGATGGAGAATATGGAAGAAAGGATGCCAATAAAGAATATGGGAGAAAGAATGAAGGAAAGTATGGGAGAACAAGTGCTAAAAGAGAATATGGGAGAAGGGAAAAAGATGAAGAATATGGGAGAAATGATGCCAGTGTAGAAAATGGAAGAAAGAATGAAGGGAAACGTGGGAAAACAAGTACAAGGAGAGAATCTTGGGAAAAGATTAAAAATGGAGAATATGATGCCAGTGCAGCAAATGGAAGAAGTAATGGAGGAAAATATGGGAAAACAAGACCTAGCAGAGAATATGAGAGAAATGATGGCAGTAATAAATATGGAAGAAAAGATGGCAGTGAAGAATATCAAGGAAAGGATAGCAGTGAAGAATATCAAGGAAAGGATAGCAGTGAAGAATATCAAGAAAAGGATAGCAGTGAAAAATATCAAGGAAAGGATAACAGTGAAGAATATCAAGGAAAGGATAACAGTGAAGAATATCAAGGAAATGATAGCAGTGAAGAATATCCAGGAAAGGACAAGACTGTAAACTATAAAAGGAGTGACAAATCTGGGAAAGGAACTAGAAAAATATCTAACCAATTTCAACATGAAGAGAGCAATGAAGATAGTGAGATATCTGATCCAGAAATCAGTTTCGAGTATATTGAGAGTGGAGAGGGGTATAAGGAAATCAACAATCATCTGAAAGATGTCCTCAGATTTGAAAAAAAGAAGGACAAAGCCGATTCTCCTGAAATTCGGAGAGCTGGTTATGGTTTATGGTGAAAAATAATGAATAAATAAGCAAAATCAATTCGTTTAAAACAAGAATCGTGTATTTGATGGCAAATGTTATTTCTTAAGTCTTAATCAATTACAAAATACCTTCGCAGTTCTTTCTGAAATGCTTCCAAAGCTCTGGGAATCGTAAGTGTTGTCAGGGAGAATGTGCTCCTCGTTTTCCTTGGGACAATTACATTTTAAATTTTCTTTAGATTTAGGAAAACTAGTTTTTCATCAAATAAAATTTTTAAATTTTTCCAATAAATTCTTTTGAATCGATTTTTCGTTCTTAAGTAAGCGAGAGAGACATTTTTGACAATCAAACTGTTTTTTAAAATGTGAGCGTTCCTGGTTATCAAGATATATATTTTCTTTTTTCTTTTTAAATTCAGGTTGATATTCTTTATCAGATCCAGAATCTTCACCCAGAATATCTTCTAGTCTAAAATTATAACGTCTTTACAATATTATGATTATTATCCTTATTATCATTATTATCATCATTGATATTATAATTTTTACTATTAATAATATTCATCATTATAGATACATACAAATAGAGAACCAGAAAGCTGTGGAATAGGAAGACAACATTAAAGCAATATTTAAGTGTTTTTGAATAAATATGTTTTACTTCCGGCACAATCACTGTGGCTTATGTTCATTGAATTTTTTAAAATCATAACGCGAGTTCAAGAGTCGGATTCCTGTTCCACAGTTTTCTGGTTTTCAACGAACGTGCTTTCTCCAACCCTTGACCCACCTTCTTTATATAAACTTCTCAAATCCCTTCTTGACCCACCTTCTCTATATAGCTTCTCAAATCCCTTCTTGACCCACCTTCTCTATGTACACTTCTCAAATCTCTTCTTGACCCACCTTCTCTATATAAACTTCTCAAATCTCTTCTTGACCCACCTTCTCTATATAAACTTCTTAAATCCCTTCTTGACCCACCTTATAGATTATTTTTTGGGGGGTGGGGTGGCTAGTGTGTGACACAAGTTCTCGTTAGGTCACTGAAGTTAAGCACACTTGTCCAACTTTCACGGGTTCGATTCCCGTACTTCACACAAACCTGTGGTTTCAAAAACATCTGAAGCTGACATCTGATTAAGCAGTTATCGACCATCTGACGGATGTAGGAGGAGAGGGGCGGCTGTCAAGAACTCTCGCAGCGAAAGGGTGCATGCTTTCTACTCAACAAGAAAGAAGCTTGAAGTGGATTGATCCAAATGAATGATGATGAAGAGAGAAAGGTGGACAAGCAGGGAGAGTCTATGGCTTCCAGCTATAGGTACCTGGAGTTATCCAATCCGGGCTTACAAATTATTGGGAGCAATAAGTGTGATGTCCTGTTCTGTCTGTAAGGGCCTCATTATATCCAGTATATCAGAAGAATTCCTGCACTCTACAATTCTCAGGACTAAAAAGCCCTTAGGCAGATGGATTCTTGTCAGCCCTCTTCTCAGTATGAATGAAGCGTGGCTGGATGAATGTACTGCCAGATTACAACCCCGGGTAGATCAATAAAACGCATACAACACCAAACTTTCGCGATAGAAAAATTCCAAGGTTTTTCGTAACAACCCAATCATGTCCTGGGAACAAAAAAAACTCGTTAAAAAAATATTTTTCTAACCTATTGACCCACCTTCTTTGTATCTATTTGTCTAACCTCCTGACCCACCTTCTCTATATATACTTCTCTAACCCCATGACCCACCTTCTTTTTAAGATATAATCCTCGTTATCACTTTCTTCTGAAAAGTAGGTATAGCTGACCCGTCTGCTCCCATTGCTACGCGTAGATCTGAGGTCAAGGTTATATTATCTGTTTTTTTAATGCATTTGGAGACAAAAAATATAGGAATGTGGCAGTTCACCCTTGTTGGATTCCTGGAATACAATACACAGTATACTCCAGTATACTCCATACTTCATGTTATTGTTTCGATTTTGTATAAACACTGTATCTGATAAATACATAATATATTCAGTTAGCTTTGACTACTCATTCTAGCTTATTAGCATCCAGCTAAAGAAATGCGATTTAAGTAAAAAAGAAAACAAAAAGGCGTGCAATGCTGAAAGTAAGATATCGAATTTAAACAACGAAAAAGTGTACTTTTAATATCTCCAGACTTGAGCCTTTTATCTTATGTTCTTAAGTTTAAAATGATTTTGTTAGTTTATAATTTTCGTTGAATTATAATATTTGTATTTAGAATTAAGTAAGGAACTCTTCCTTCTAGACGCATTGGAGACTTCAGAAACTACAGATACTGCTGAGATATCAGATTCAGTGTCTGATGATTCCATTCTTCTGAAAACATATATTCGTCACTAACATTTTTCACATTTTATCACAAAATAAAATATCACAAATTTTTCCATATCATAGGTTTCTAGGATCCAGACCATCGCCATGATTACTATAGAATACATATATTCAGATTTCTAATTAGAATTGATCTGAATGCAGATTTTTTTAACAAAGAGAAATCTCGATTTGTTTGACGTATGATGTTTTTTGGATGTTAATAAAGCCAAATATCCAAATGATTTATCTGGATGTTTTTGGAGACAGATATCCAGATGATTTATCAGAATATCAATATAGACAAATATTTAAACGATTTGTCTGGATATAGCATGGCGGAAGACATATATCCAGATGATTTGTCTGGATATCATTAGACAGATATTCAGGAGTTATCTGGATATCATGAGAGACAGATATCCAGATGAGAATTCATCTCCGTGTTCTTGATCAGCTTTTTACAAACTGGACAAGCAAACTCTCCGTCCTTATCCTCAACTCTATCCTCCAAAGAGAACAGAAGATCATTCTCATCCTTAAAATTTACGAGATCAAAAACAAAATCTTAATTAGTTTTTTTTTTAAATTAACATTTAACAAACCTGTTCCAAAGAGCTGTTAGTTTCTCCCATTCTTTTCTTTATAAGAGGCTCGCCATCGTCATCATCATCATCAACATCATCACTATAGGCAAGCAAAGGTTTATCATCCTCCTCATCACTTTCTGGAATACTAATCACTGAGTTTTCAGCTACAGACAGAAGAAGAGCATCTTCATCATCATCAAGCAGATAGTCATCTTTCTCTTTCTGGTTTTCCTCTGATACTAAACATTGATCAAGATGAGAGTTCATGGTTTCCTCCGCTACTGCTACTCCGCAAACTGGACATTCAGCAGTAGAAGAGGAACCAGGTTTAGAGTTGACTCCGGTAGCAGGTTCAGGTAAAGTAATCCCGCTATGTCCAGGATTAGATAAACGGTTGGAACCATCCGAGGTTATTGGAGAAAGTTCGACGATTCTAGAATTTTGGTTGGTAGTCAGGGACGTGGTCTGTGCGGGGAAGGAATTTGCCCATCTTAATCTTGCCATTTCTCGCGCTGATAAATTCTTCTGGGATCCGGAGGTGGATTGCTCCGCTCCGGAGAGGGTTAACCCTGCTCCGTGAAAGGATTGAGCAGACTGTGGAGCTGAAGGTTCGGACTCCGGAACAGAGTTCAAAACAGTCCCTGTCGATGAATTATCCTTGGTTTTCCAGCCAGGTTTAACAACTAAGGTTCCAGATTTTCCAGTAGTTTTCAATCCTCCTCCTGCTCCTCCGGGACTATTGAAACTAGATCCTCCAAACCCAAATATATTACCCCGTCCCCCTCCTCCTCTCTTTGAAGGAGATGAACCATTCCCTTTCGTACCAGAGTTTGGTTTAGAGACTGAGTTAGGTTTTGGAACTGAGCTTGGTTTTGGAACTGAGTTTGGTTTTGGAACTGAGTTTGGTTTTGGAACGGAGTTTGGTTTCTTCCTTGGTTTGGTATCCTCTAATGGGGTTGACTGGGTTGATGAGGAAGAACCAAACATGGTTCTGATATCTCGCTGTCCTCCTGCGTTTGTAGCAATAGACTGAACAACAAACAAATTATTGTATTGAACTCATTTTTAAGTAAGGTCATAGAAAAACTCACCGAAGCTTTTTTATTTTCTTTTCCCTTCTTTCCATACCCCTCCGGTTCCTTGACCTTTGTATACTTTCCACCACAGGTATTCTCATGTTGACTCCACCACCTAGTAACCAATTTAAATCATATCAACAATTTTATTAACATACATTATATAAATTAATTAGAAATAGAGGGACCCTGGAACTCCATAACGTAGCCTTTAGGATATTAATTATTTTCAACTACTTTACAAAAGTTAAGGGAATTTTACTTTACCAAGGGTTATCAAGACAAAACATCCCTCGCTGCGCTCTGGACGTTTTGTAGACAAAATTGGTCGAGGGAACCCGTGGTTAAGTAAAATTTTCATTTCCCGAAAAAGTAGTTGTAAACAATTTTATCGTCTTTTGAGATGAAAATGTGCGAATTTTCCCCCGAAAACTTAGCAGAACGGGTGGTTATTTTACAGAACTGTCCCAAGGGACGTTCAGTTAACTAACCTCCCTCTATTGGGGGAATCATAGGTCGGTAATGTTGGTCAAAAGGCGGTAAAATAAATTAACTGTCGGTTTATTGTTAACAATAATGATGATCCTAGAGTCCAGTACATGTGTATATAATAGGATTGAGAATATTGTTACCTATCTGATGGTCCTGGAGTCCAGTACATGTGTATATAATAGGATTGAGAATATTGTTACCTATCTGATGGTCCTGGAGCTCGGTTCATGGCTCTCTTCACAAACCCATAGAAAGGTGGACGTCTAAACAATGATTAACTAAAAAATTAGTACATTAAAATATGAACATGAACTCTACGGAGTTAATAATTAAAAAAAAGGATCCATAGCTTTTTAAAAATAAACTGATTTCGAAATTTTGATTCGATGTATTGAGTTAATCTCATTATGTTCGAGGGAATATTACTGATTTTTCATTCATCAAATCCCAGTAATCGTGACTTAAGAACATTAGTTAATCTCTGCACGGATACAAAATGCTTTTAACTCAACTCATTTATTTATAAGACCCAGCTATAAAATATTTTAAATATCTTATGACTTTATATCTGTCACAGTCGAACAAATGAAAAAGGTCATCATTAAAATCTTGTTTAAAAAATGTAAGACACGAAAAGATGAAAACTTTTTATTTTTGAATAAAAAATAACCTACTTAGTACAGGGTCCTCCACATCTCCACCAATGTTGTTTATACAAAGCAACTTCGTCATGAAACGTGTGATAAACCGATATATTTGCTCCTAAAATATAAAATATTTCTAGGAATTAAAATCGTTCAGCTGAGGAAGGGTAATGATTTTTAGGGTGAAATTTTCAAATTCTTGGAGAAAAAAGTCATAAAGGGTGAGAACATACGTCAGCAGGGTATCTTTGAAATTTTACACCAAATCTTATAAAATATTTCTGATACAAGATACCTGTTGCTTGATTGATCCTGTACATATGTTTATGAAACTCAGGCCCATGCCCGTCATGGTTATCGTTGTTGTCTGTAACAAAAAGGTAGGCGTGGATCATCTCATGGAGAAGAGTTTCAACCAGATCCTTCCTAGGTCGTAGTTTCAGCAGGGGTATGGATATTCCTACAGGCCAAACCTTTTCACATGGTTGGAGAAATAAAACAATTAAGCGTGTTAATCAAAACTATTGAATGCAGTGCATATGCTTCAAATCGATGGTTTAAGATAATTTTTTCTAGTTTTTGTTTAACTTCAGCAAACTTTTGCAATTTATCTTCTTATTTCAATAATTTTTGTTCTCAGATTTTATCCTCAATTGCAAACCATTGAAGTTTGAGTTTCTTAGGTTTATGATTTTGAACATTTCTTTTAATGATTTCCAATCCGGATCCGGCTCCGGATATCTAGGGACCTAAATTATGATTTTGAGAGGTCGCTGAATTACCTCCCACCGGCTTAAATTCTGAATTACCAAATCAAATCCTCACGAATCGTTGATTCAGGGTTATAGCCTGTGGAAGCTAGTTCAGGGACTTCTCTCTAATTCATTAAATTCCCTGTCCAGTGATCGAAAACATTGCGGATTCTGTAGTGGATTCAGATCATAATAACTGATTAAAATTCACTGAAAAATGATCCAAGAGGTTTCCCTATTGTACAGAAGCGTTCTCTAGGACTATATCTACAGATTCCAGCACATGTCGTCATCCGGGGGGACCAACGGACCTCACAACTAGAATTCAATCAATCAATCAATCAATCAACTAACCAACTAATTGACCAAGACTATAGTAATTATTTATACTAAATTAATCAACCAATCAAACTATACATTATAGAAATTATCAATCATCAATTAATCAATCAATCAATCAACAAAATCAAATAAATTCAATAAAATAATCAGAGTATTAAGACCCGCTACGGACCTGAGTAATTGACCCCAGAAGAATGTTTCGTTGAACTGAATGAAAAGAGCGTGAAGGTCAGGTGTGGGATCGATAGTTTCCCAGTCGTTAGATACAACAGAGATTTTAGAGCTTTTCTGAGGGGTTCTAACAAAATATATTTGTTTAACTATAACATGCTAAAATAGTATCAATTTTCTAACGGTACTTTTATTATTATTTCTATATTAAAATAGAAAAAGAAAAAATACTAAATAACTAACCTGTAAGAAGGTGGTAAAAAAGGAGCCATCTCAGAATTTGCCTCCTGAAATAAATAAAGTTAGAATAGTTTTGGAAAGTTAATATACATTATACAATATCATTAAAATGGTAGAAATTAAATACTACATTCAAACTTTACAATTTAAGTATAGAAATATAGTTCACACCCTTCCCTTTCAACATTAAAGTTACGAAAGCTTAAGTCATAACCTATTAAAACGACAATTATTTACATTTTTCTGGTAAATCTTCTACATATTTAGATTTTATCTGAGAAGCGTTTTAGGTAAGTAAAATTTTATCTAAATACAGTTTTGAGAATACTGATTGTTGAGTTTTTTAGCCCGAGAAGCAGGATTATTTAAAAGTTAAATTAAAGGTATTGTTTGGTGAGTTAATCTCTAGACCCCAATTAGGGGTATATTGAGAATATCTGCGAGTCTATAGATTCATTGAGTAACTATTTACATCACTATTTTTACTCAAACAATGTCTCCAGCATATCGTTGGTAAATGTGTTTAAACACTTAAGGATTTCTAGCGTTTTTAACTTCTCCTGGCAAACTGTTCCGTAAATTCACTACTCTCTGACTAAAAAAATTAACTCTTAATTCCAGTCTAGATCGCGAGAGCATCAGATTTAGGGGATCTGCAGTTAGGCGAGTTAGTCTATGTTCTCCTGACCCGACTGTGTTAAACCATGTTTCACTCTTAACATCATCAAAACCATGGATAATCTTAAATGTTATTATTGAGAAAAGGAACCTGATCAAACTGTGATTGAAGCATCCGAGCAAGCTTCTCATCCTCATTTTCATCCATATTTTAGTCTGCAAATATATTGTTAAGATTACAACTATTTTTCTTCAATACAGATAAAATTTTACTTTAATATAATCGTCTACTAAAGGGTGTCCATGCAAATATTTTGGTTTCTGTTCTGCAGGAAAATATGGATATTTAATCTGATTTGTCCGAGCTCTGGGAATTTGAATATTCTCTCTTCACAATCCGTCCAATCTCTACCCAAGGGTAATCACTTCGCTGAGCTTAAACATTCAGACAATCAATGAATTAGATAATAATGACTCAATCAATGACTCATAAATAATGTTAACCATTGGCCTTAATTAATAAGTAAAAGAATCTGTTTCCAACAAATCAATCAGTAAAATAGATTTTTTTCATTTGTTTACCAATCTTTTTAAGTTTTTATTTTATTTGAAATAACAGATTAATACAAATTTGTACAAAATTTGTTTAAAGTTTATATTTTATTTTAAATAAAATATTTATTTTAAATAAAAGATTAATAAATATTTGAACAAAATCACTTCAAAAGAATTGGATGATTTAATGATTAACAGTATTCCCTTTATTTACTATTTCCCGATTTCAACAGGCAGCATAAATAAAATTTTCTACTTGTACAGAGAGATTAGATCATTAGGTAATCGTCAATCGATAGATAAATTGATGATTTAATTCTATCAATCAATTAATACCCCAACCTAACAAATCAAATCAAATCTATCAATCAATCAAGTAAATTAACATTTTATTCTTACATTTAGGAATAATATGTTCCTGGTCTTGAATCCACCTCCAGCCTATATGACTGCCTAAAACATTAAAATTATTTTTAAAATCTTGAAATTTTGATGGACCAATTTACTTCTATGGTGTCCTACCGACAAGTATGACACCCATTGTTGTCAGCATAGCATTTCGTTTAAAGAACTTGACAATCTTATTCTCTTCCATTCTTTTTTCTGAAACAATAAAACGATATTTTAAACTGTTTAACACTATCTTGCAAACCTATTGAATCTAAATAAATTTTAAGTACAAAGGTTCAAGGCATGTTCAGGGACAAAATCAGGATCCATTACAAATAACGATTGGATACAAAATCGGACTCTGAATACTCGCCCAAAAATGGGTTCGGACAGAAAAATCACATTTTAAGGATTTTTCGATCTTTTCTTTATTTGACACAAATATTCTTCGAATTATTGTTATCTTCGAAAAACAAGAAGAAATTTGTTAAATATCAGATATTAAGATTGCGCTTTTGTCGGGTTTTCGTGTCTCGATCCTCAAAAATGTGAAACCGGATCCAGAATTCTAAAACAATGCAGTTATACCGGGTCCGAATCTTATCACACTAATATATGTAACATGATCATGTTAGAAGAAAAACGTAATACTTGAAGCATAAAATGGCACAAAAATATAAAACATTAAGATTGTTAGAAACTAGAAGTACAACTAAGAAACAAAAATACGATAAAATAAATGGGTTTTGTTTAAATATTCGCCAGCTTGTCGATGACATGCCGTTTTGCGACATGCATCCAGCCAATTCTCTTGACAGGAAAGTTGATGTGACATATTCTACAGTTCCACATTGACTCTCTCTTCATGTTTGTTAACATCAAGTTTACCACGTCTAAATAATGGAGTTGTAGTACATGTTAGTAAAACATAAAGATGGGCCTTCATTTACAAATTTAAGAAATAACCTCTGTTGCAGAGTTTGACATGTCTATACTACAGGGTTAGCCACAAAGGATGAAACTGTAAAGACGACCTTAAACTCACATGATGATCATATGGTTAAATTAAATATCTGCCTTAAAATATAACCTTTAAATGGTTTACTTCGTGATTTGCCAAAAAAAGAAACAAGTTTTCAGTTGTATCATTAAATCATTAATTTAAGGATAAAGACATTATAAAGGGGATGGTGGAGTTGGCACATTTGATGTAGGGGGGGGGGGGGGGCCCTGCCTTCATTTTTGGTTCAAATCTTCCAATTTTTTGGGTGCGCGCCTAATTAGGGTTCGAAATTCCTATAATAAAATAAAATTGAACTTTAATGACCTCTAATGACCTCTAATGACCTCTAATGACCTCCACCAATAGAAAATATTTCAACTATGGCTTAATGCATATCAAACGAAAGCTNATACAGGGTTACAATACAGGGATCCAATACAGGGTTACAATACAGGGATCCAATACAGGGTTACAATACAGGGATCCCCACAAAGCATGATAAGTTAATGACGACCTAAATCTCATTTTATAAAAACAATATAGGAGTTTAATTTGAGGGTAAAACAATATAGGAGTTTAATTTAGTAAATTTTTTTGTATATTGTAAAAATATATTTGTAAAAGAATACACTTGCATAAAACTGCAGGAAACCATATATTTAAGAAAACTTTAAAATGAACGTTTCTGAAGTCTCATCTTTTGTTGGTAACCCTGTATGTCTGAGCAAATCCTGTGCTACCTGCTACCCTAGTATTGTTCTTCAGTTCAATCCATTCATTTTCATCCATCAGATCGTCATTCTCCGAACCTTCATTGTTTACAGGCTCAGCTTCAACCTTTCTCTGTTCTTCTTTATTTCCAGATTCTTTATCTAGTTGGGTGTTAGGATTATCATTCTCCTCTCCAGAACTTAACTTAAGGGATTTGGGGGATTTCTTTTTAGAACATATTTTTGTGACCTTTTTCTGTGTTATATTGTTAGATTTTAGAACTGTTCTTGTCGGTGTTGAATCAAGTTTAGAGTTCAAATTTGTTCTTTTCCTCTTAGGAGTTGGTTCAACACTTAACCTCATTCTAGGAGCACTAAAGTTCTCTGAGGTTCTTGAGCTAGGTCTTTTCCCCCCGCCACTACCACTATTAGGTCTCTCAACACTCCTTGTGTAATGTCTTCCAACTCTAGGTTTCTCCAGATTACCAGAGCTAGGTCTTTTCCCTCTTCCTCTCCCAGAACTAGATCTCTCTACACTACCAGTAATACTTGATGTTTCCGCGCGTTTAGTACTTTGCTTTGTCACCTTGCCATAACCAGATTTGTCCGGACTTCTCAAGCGCATATCTAAAAATATGTTTTAAAACCCGACACTGATCACTTATTGGCAGAGCTTTACAGATTTTTATGCAAGGGAAAAAATATCAACCAAAATTCTCCTGAGACCTCGCAAAGGTCAATAAAGTTCGGGCAAAAAAAGGAAAATGAGAATTTTTTTCAAAAGAAAACGTTTCTTGAAAAATTTTACCACATACTCAGATTTGGCGAACACATAGAAATAAACTAATGTTTCTTGAGAAATAAAAAAAAGCTAATTTAAAAAGAGTTTGCTAGATAAATAAAAAATAAATGTACATGATCTTAAAATATTTTACAAAATGTTGATTACCTCTATAAGTATCTGAGTTTGGGAATAGTGAAATATCTTCTGTATTAGATAAACCAGCCTCAAATTCTATCGATGAGCTAGATCTCTTGACGGAGAAGTTTATCACGTCCTCCGGAATCTCAACCATACTCCGGGTCCTGGGAAAAACACAAAATATTTATAAACATTGGATATCTTTTAATCAGGGATCAACAAAAATAATGATAGATTTTCTTGTACAGAAATATCAATAATTCTGACTGCATAATGCAACTGGGATGGATGAGTATTTGGGCATTCAAGATTTTGAGTAACTTTCAGATGATTACTAAAAAGATAACATGACACACCTTTAGCGGTTATAGGGAACAAATACATGATCAACTCGCATAATGGATTGTGATAATGATGATAATGATAGATTTAAATGATGATCAGTGAAGGGATCAGTGTTTAGGACGCTAAAACTGGTGCCAATACTGTTCTGTGAGTACAACACAGATATCTGCGCTAAAGACCAAGAGACCCTCAAGTAACAAGTAATATGATAATAATAATAATAAAGCAGTATAAAGCATACCCTGTAATGGTTTGCAGTTCAATATCTGCCAAGATAGTTGAACTATTCCTAGAACTATCAAACTCCTGAACTGTACTGGTTTCAACTGAACTCATGGATCCGTGAACAATTCTTATTTTCTTATTACTCCTGGAGTTTTGATCTGTACTGTCCTGGGAACATGTGGCCTCGTTTAGATCCTCCTTAACCTCATCTCTAGGCTCACTCAGGTTTAAAACTAAGTTATCTTCAGTTTCTTCTTCTTCTTCATAGGATTCCATTGGATTATTCTAAACAGGCTTAGCTTTATATTTACCATAATTAGACCTTAATTTTGCCAATACACTTGCTATAATGGATACATTTAATTTTGCCATTTTTACAGTGTAAACCTAACTTTTGTTAACTTCATTCCGTCCCTAAGTCGCTAGTCGCAATTGGCAAGCGTAATATGGCAAATTAACTTTGCCTTCTTCATAGACGATAGGTAATTAGGTAATTAACAATTAGCAAAATTAAAACTGATTTAGACATTGGCAGTAATTTAAATCATATTTGGGAATTAGTAAAAGTAAAAACGATTTACCTAGGAACAGATACATCTCAGAAATATAGTAAATCTAGTGCTAACAAGTTTTTATCGTATGAAAGGAAAGGAACAATGATGTTTGAATAAAAAAATTTTTACGTATACTAAATCAAATAAATTCAGTGAAAATGGAATCGGAAAATGCGCCACCGAAACCAATCCGTTCAAATATATAATTATTTAACTACCTCCGACTTTTGTTCCAGAAATGCATTTCCCGAGGTTAGAGTAAAGTCACTATTTTTCTCAGTCGTCGTCATAGATTCCGGATCATTTCCAGAGCATTCCACTTCCTGTTGTTCAGGTTCAGTTTCAGGTTGAGGTTCAGTTTGAGAGTCTTCTGTTTGTTTATTCTCCTCAGCAAGTCCTTTAATCCCTAGTTCCTCTGCTACAGCCAGGAAACTCTGAAGACGGGCTTGCTCAATGCGAACCTTGAAAAAGGAATTGTTAAGTAATAAAAACTTCTGTTTACCGGAACTGTAGACTTGATTTGAACAGAACAGAAACATTTAAACCTTTTTAGAGTAATTATAAGGAAAATAACGTTGTTTTTATATCTTAAGCGTGTTGATTTCAGACAATTTCCTAAATTGTCTTTGTAGCTTTAACAGATGAAAAAAGTATTTTTTTTTTTCAGAAAGAAATATCTCATTTATCTTTGATCATACAAATGTTTAAAGGGGACCCTTGTAAATCGGACATGCCAATCTAAAAATGGAAGGTCACTTTACATTTCTCAATTGTGATATTTTCCCCAAAATGTTCCAAAACTATATTCTAGCTAGAAATTTTACCCTAATTAATTAATTAATTGTCCAAGTTTTTACCTGTCCGCGGTACATGAAGTCTAGTATAGAGACAAGATCCCTGAACTTGATCCCGGACAGGTAGATCAAAGGGTTGCTGTGCGGGTTCTTGTACAACAGGTTCAGGAAGAACGAGCTACTGGACGCCAGGATAAACCTAGATACAAATATTCTCAAGATACGGATAAACCTAGATACAAATATTCTCAAGATACGGATAAACCTAGATAAAAATATTCTCAAGATATGGATAAACCTAGATACAAATATTCTAAAGATACGGATAAACCTGGATACAAATATTCTCAAGAAACGGATAAACCTAGATACAAATATTCTCAAGATACAGATAAACCTAGATACAAATATTCTCAAGATACGGATAAACCTAGATACAAATATTCTCAAGATAAGGATAACCCTAGATACAAATATTCTCAAGATAAGGATAAACCTAGATACGAATATTCTCAAGATAAGGATAAACCTAGATACAAATATTCTCAAGATACGGATAAACCTAGATAAAAATATTCTCAAGATAAGGATAAACCTAGATACAAATATTCTCAAGATAATGATAACCCTAGATACAAATATTCTCAAGATAAGGATAAACCTAGATACAAATATTCTCAAGATAAGGATAACCCTAGATACAAATATTCTCAAGATAAGGATAAACCTAGATACAAATATTCTCAAGATAAGGATAAACCTAGATACAAGGATAAACCTAACAACAAATATTCTCAAGAAACGGATAAACCTAAATACAAATATTCTCAACAAAGACAGTTCCTTTAAGCCACATTGAAAATTAATGTAAGTTAATATTATTAATTGGTAAGAATATTCTTACCTGTGGGCTTCTATCTGTCTATCCTCGGCTGCTAGAGTAACATCAGTAAAATGTTGTTGGCCCCTCATCACCTCGGCCGACTAGAAGCATCGACAATAGGTAAAACAAAAAAGAATATTAAAAACTGTGAAGGTACAAAGTTTATTTGAAGTATTTTCACATCAAAGAAATACAAAATTACCAAATAACCCCTTCTCTGAATCAAAAATAAATATCTTTGTCTCAAAAGTCTTTTAAGATCCGGATCCGAAATATTTTGGCTCCTAAATCCGGATCCGTAGAAATACAAGGATATCCAAGTGGTAAAATATCAACAATAATTTCAAGCGAGAAACTTTTTGTTTTTCAACCATGAAACTCTATTATTGATAAATAATATTAAAGAATGAAAATAAAATAAAAACAATTTAAGCTCTGCATCCCATTCCAAACGGAATATATCCTTTACTCTGGATTAGGGTTGTTATGAACGTGAGACCAAACCTGTTGAAGGTTCTGTGAGAACTGGTGCCATGTTAGCACAACAGCCTGATCCATTCTTTATATGAAAAAGAATTTAAAATCTTCATTTAATAAACTTATAAATCTATTAATCAATCAACAGCGGTGTAAATATCAGAGATTATATTTAATACCAATAACAATAAGCAGAGACTTTTCCAATTCAGATTTATTGTTATCTATTTCAGATAGTTAGTCAAAATTGTATTCTTTGATGAACTGCCTGCCTAATAAGGGTTTACACATGATAAATAACAACAATGTAAAAATACTTGAAAATAAATTAATAATCAAAGAAAATGTATTTTTATGGGTGGCTTAAAAAACACACTGTGCCTCCAAGCTGCTAGATATACGTTAGGCGTCTCTTTTAGCTTCTTTCTGAGTAGAAACTTAAATAAGAGAGATAGGTATTTGAACGAGCTACGGCTAGTTCAACTGTCTTTCTGGACCGCTGATGTAAACTTAAACCCAGGGCAGTAGTTGTAGTAAAACTAGCCATATGTAACTCCAACTTCTTCTCGCTATTAAAAAATTTCCCCCGACTGATCAACAAAATTCCAGCCACAATTTGACAATTCTACTAATTATCTTAATTTTTTACAGGATTCTGTTAGTATTAGATAAAATAAATACCAGTCATGATCAAATAATCAACATTCAATAGTATATTAAAACAAATAAATAATAAGGTTTTGTTTGATTTGTTTATGGCATATAGTTTTGTTTATATTCCGTAGAGAACCAGTTCTACGGAGGATAGTATTGTTTATATTCCGTAGAAAAACAGTTCTACGGAGGATAGGATTGTTTATATGCCGTAGAGAACCGGTTCCACGGTGGCCAGATTGTTGAGATGATCCTTGTTATACAGTTGCGTGCACGTAGCCTTTACAAGCTCTCCTAGAAATAATCAATTAATATAAAACGACTTTAATATAAAATTTGTGATAAAGAAGATCAGAGCTGGGAACTTTAGAATGTTGGATATCGGGATTAATGCTTAATCCTCTCTTTTTGCTAATCTCGAGACTAACATAATCTCGAGATTAAATATTTAGATCAACAAATTTGATTCTTGGAACGCCAGATTTGTTGGTTATCTTGACTGGAAGGGCCTCTACTTAATTTTTCACCCATTTTCTTATTAATACATTAGTTAAAATTGGTTAAAAAATAATCTCAAACGTATTATTAAATATTTTTCTTCACTGATCAATTTATAAAATGGCCGACAACATATTCTTTATTTGTTAGAAATCACGGATTTCTCTCATGGGATAGAAATTATTTTTAAGGCTGTCTTTGGTCAACACAATTTACGAACTATATTCCTGCACTCTCATTGGAGAAAACAATGTACGGATATCCAAAGAGAGATGAGAAAAAGAGTGGATTAAGGACTAAAATGAAAAGTTTCCACAGTGGATATTCGGATTAAGCAGTCAGGATTAAAGGTTATCCATTCTAAAGTTCCCAGCTCTGATTAGTTCAAATCGAATAAAAACTGGGAACTTTTGTGTTAGTATAACTACAATCCCAATCTATCAATCTCGATATCCATAATGGGCACTTTTGAATCTGGATATCCGCCATTTCTCTGGTATCTTGTTGATTGGAGGCAAAATTCCTTTGCTTCTTATTGGCTGTTTGTTTCCGCAGACGGCACTCTGATTGATTGAACTTTAAGCACTTAACTGGATATCGATAAAGAATGAATTAATCTGTAGATTAACAAACGATCCTGAGCTAGAAAAATTAAGAATAGTGGATATCGGGATCAATGCTTGATCTCCTCTTGTCCTTAATCTCCAGATTAAATAATGCTTGTTCTCCTCTTGTTATTAATCTCCAGAGATGAAAACTTTAGAATGTAATATCCTTAATCCCGATCTGTTAATTAATCTGGAGATTAAATTCATGAGGACAACAAGCAATATTTAATCTGAAGATTAAGAAAAAGAGTGGATCAAGCATTAATCCCGATATCCACCATTCTAAATTTCCCAGCTCTGATTAATTAACCGATCGGGATTAAGGATATCCTATTTAAAAGTTCCCAGCTCTGATCAAGTATTAATATCGATATCCAAAATACAAAAGTTCCCACTTCAAATCAGATCAAAATAAAATAAAATCGTTTCAAGAGCATCCTGCTTCCATATTCCAAAACTGTATTGCGACAGGTCTTAAATTAAGTAATACCTGAATCATTAAAGTCAAGGAAATATTTGCTGACCCCGGTGTTTGGACTGATTCTAAAACAAACGATTTATTTTCCAATTTATTGCTGTACAAATTGTATAGTGAGCTAGTCATCTATTACTTAGTTATTTGACCTATTGTTTCTGGAAGTTAACTATGAATCTGAAAAGTCTCAAAATCTTTTTTGTCTCTAGCGAAAAGACTGGTTCATGTAAAAAAACTTGAAATAAAAAATTGGACCAATCCAATCCAATCCAATCCAATCCAATCCAATCCAATCCAATTCAATTCAATTCAATTCAATTTATAAGGTAGAGCATCCAAGTTTCAGAATGGAGTTGCAAGTTCTTCATGAACATTGGTTTTTAAAGCCTGGGCCAAATGAAAGCCATGTTGCCATTTTAACGCAACCATCAGGAAGTCTAAAGGGTAAATGATTGATTGGTTGATGGACGCTTCCTCTATGGGCTTTGATTACGCAAGATGAAGATATAAAGAATAAACATGTGAAGATTGGGATGGAACATTTTTGAAGATTTATAACCTGGATTTTTTTTTCATTAAAAGCTCAGAAATATATTTATTCAAAAATCATTCCAAATAAGATTTCGAGCTTTGAAGACAGAAACATAAAAATATCTTAAAATTGATTTTGTCTCCCAAACTCATTTATTAAAATGTGTATGTGTTTGATTTTTAATTAGGAGAAATGAATTGATTTTGAAGAAATATCCACCCCTGTTAAGTTGCTTACCTGCCATATTCTCCATTCTGACAAGGGAAAGAGCATTGGTATTTGTTAACTAGAAGAAGGTTAAAATCCTTGATAAATCCTCCGTGCGTTGTTGCAAGAACACAGGGGTTATCCATTCCCTGAACCTTCTCTCCTAGAGTTTTAATAAACATCTCAATCCTCTCTCTAGAACCAAGAACAATATTTGGTTCAAATTCTACAATGAGATCCAGAAAACTATGGAATCGGAAGACGACTTTAAACCTAGAGATATTTAAAATAAACAAAAATAACATGAGACACATGTACACATCCATTTCACTTAATAAAAGGTTTTATAGCTACTAGTAAAACTGTATGTTTTGTAACATCAACCACTACTAAAAGATTGTTTTAATGTCTTCTTTGTTTTCCAAAGTGTTCTGGTTCTCACTGTATATTAGTTAAAATATGTTTTTTACAGCACTTTTTACGAGAAACGGTTTTTTTGTTTAAAGAAGACATTTGGAAAACCTAAAATAGTTGATGTTTCTTGTCTTCCTTAAGTCCTATTAATTTTTATGTTTACCAATTGCAAAATACAAAATACAAGACTGAAGAAAAACAATAATCATTCTGCGTGTTCTAGTTAGAATCGTATCAAATCAAAAATAAACGGATTTTTACTAAATCTTCAAATATTTCTTTGTTCCCTAAACATATCTCCAGATTCTCCGTTATCCGGACCCCAGGACTGCAGCTTGGAACGATCCAAACCCTAAGAAAGGACATTGAACTTTGTAAACTTAGTTAGCCCACAGTTCCTTCGACTTGAACCGGCTCACAAGAGAAGTAGTTCAACTGTATCTACGTAGTTCAACTACTGATACAAATGAATCATATAAAATTATAAAAAAAATAAACCTTGATTGCTTCTAGCATAGTTTTGAGAGGTTTCCCTTCCAAATCACCGAAACATCTTTCCCTGAGTACTTGTAGCTCCTCTAGACTTTCAAAGCTGGGATTACGCTTCCGAATCTCCTCACCTGTACTTAATATTAATATATGAAAAACTAAAAAAATGGGTTTCAACAGAAAAAATCGAATAAAATGCAGGGATTTGCCAAATTCATCTAAGTTTTAGAATTAAGATTCTTGAAATTTGACTTTAAGTCTGGACCTTTCTATTAGCAACAGTTCAGTTTAAAAAGAAGACGTCCTTATGCAGTCGCACTCTCAACTAAGTCTTACAGAGGAATCTAATAAAATGAGAATGCACTATTAAGGCTGCTAATAAGTGTGACATACATACATGAAAAATTGATATACTAAAGTAAGATGTATAAACCCCAACACAAGTTACTTAAAAAAATACCATTTTGCCCTCTTGAGATCTGAGGTGAGCGCCAGATGAAAGGTATGTTTTGCTAATGATTCACCAACCATCTCAGCTTGTTTTACACCCAACTCAGATAGATCAGTGTCTAGATGCCCCTGAATATAAATAAATCAATCAATCAATCAAAGATCAGTTTCTAAGAATATAATCAATCTATCAATCAGTCAATTAACAAAGGGGTGTCCAGTATCTATTTATACATTTGGCTTGTCTGTCTGTTTGTTTGTATCCAATAAACGTCAAAAAGGCTGAACCGATCGGGCCCAAATTTTTCGTGCGACATCACGTGACGTGTTGTAAACAAAAAGAACATGTTCACAATTTAAATAAAAAGATGGGCGCGAAGCGCCCTAAAAGCCTATAAAGAAGGGCGCGAAGCCCCTTGAATTTCTAGTTCCTTAAAAAGCAGTACAGAAAAATTCCCATTAGTATATTAGAAATGCGTAGCGCCATTTTTTTTAAAGCTTTTCTCTTTCGCGGACTTGGGGAATGATTTTAACAGTGGAAATGCATTTCTAACCATTATAAAATCATACTTAACATGGATTGTTTAAGGCGTCCTTCGAAAAGGTGCTCTGACCCAAACTTTGGGTTTTCAGCCCGATCTTTATCATAATGTGTTATTTATTTTTACTTTAGCAATAACCCAAATAACTACATAATTAATTAATTAATAATAATGAATCCCTGGGACCGAACTTATCAGTACTTCCCCTTGCAATACGCATTTTATAAACGCCTGGGGTTGTCTCTTAAATCTGCCCAGGTTTTGTTCTAATTATGATTCCTGGATGCAGGCGAACCCGACTGAAGAGTTTTCGGGAACCTGAGTTGGTCGTAACCTCAGATTGACATCCTCAACCCCACCAGCCCCCCCCCCCCGCCTATTTTGAACCTAGGTCTTCGGGTTTCTAGGGGACAGTGTAATCTTTGGTTTAACCAAAACAAAGGTAATGTGATGGTAATTTACTTCGCTTAATTTTTCTTAATTTATACATATCTTAACTACATTAAAATTCTTTCGTTATATAAGTAACTTAATGAATCATCAAAAAAAGATTTTCTGAATATTACTAGAACCTGGATGGTATGAGTTTTGTTAGCCTCTGTTTCCCCATGTCTGACCAAAACTAGTTCTATCATTCTATCTGAAAATATCAAACATAGAATATGTTATGCGCGCAAATGCAGTGAGAATAAAGTGAGAGGAAACAGTCAATGTAAAAAATCATCCAAAAACGTTGAAATTTCCTTACATAATTAAATGTTTCGTTATTTCATGAATGAATTTTAATGTGTTGCTTTAACTCCGGCATATTCTTTAATTCTGTTTCACATTTGTGACATTTGAGCGGAGTATTTAACAATTTCTTACACACCTCGGAGTCTGGTGGTGTGAAAAACCCCTAAACAAAAACGTAAATTAAAGAAAGATATTTTTGTGGGGTTTTCATAATGAAACTGAGTCTTCATCACAAACTCAAATTTTCTAGTCCCTATATCTTTGCCACTTGGACCTTTTATATTTTAAACTTAAATTATTGGATGTAATGGAATTCAATGAAATATTACAAGGTCTACAATATTGGGTCGCAAAGATAAAGGGATTAGAAAACCAGAGTTTGTTGCAAAGACTCAATTCCGTTGTACAATAATATTTGGCAAGTAAAATGCATTTCTTTGATTTGAATTAAATTGATTTAAACTTCAAATTATGAAAAAATTGCAATTTATTGTATTAGAAGTTTGAGTAAGCAAACCTTGGATTCTAGTTTATCTTTAACTTCTGCAGGATTTATGAAGAAAGCAGTTGTAAAACTGTTCCAATGCTTCTTTGTTTTCAGAAAACTTGAATCAAAATCCTGAAAAAATGAAGAATTAAAATTTTTTAAGTCCACAAATAAAAAAATGATTAAATTATATGAACCTGGCTTATAACATGCAGATGAAGTTGTGACATGGATGGCTGAGCATGAAATCCTAATCTAATAAAAAATCGGCTATTTTTCATTTTTATCCTTGCGAATTTTAGATAATATTAAGATTTTATAAACCATAGACGGTTAGGGGGGGGGGGGCAGGTTCTGGCTCCTTTAATTTGATCTTAAGAATGATTACTATTTTTTACTATTAAGAAAGTTTACTATTTTTTTGCCTCACTAGTTTTAAGAGTAAAAAATTTGTTACTAGTTTCTTACCGGGTTCAAAATAGAAAAAGGACACCAAATATTTCTCTTCCCTTCCCCCAGCAGTTTCAGTATTAGAAAGTAAAAATGATAAAATAAAAGAATTTCTTTAAACCTAAATGTTGAGCTCGGATGCCGCGCAGTTAAAGTTCGTCCAGTCTCCACCAACCGGTCCAAAAGGGCCACATGGGTGGAATTTAAACTCTTGAGGTTTGGAATTTTCTCCGTAGGGAGGACTAGATAGTGACACTGGGACTTGGGATATTTATCCTAGAAAGGACTAGCATTAAGTTTTTATTCTAGATTGTATAATGTAAAGTATAAGTTTTTGATATAACAAAAATTGTAGAGAATATGTTTAAAATGGATGCCCACCAGTTACAAACCTTTATCACAACATGATCTTCATTCTCCAAAACTTTGAACTCTGGATTCTTCATGGATGCTAGAAGACCATGACTCCAATGATTATAGTCCACCCTTGAACTGACTGTTTTCTCTTCGCCGGCGGAGTTCCTCTTTACACCGCCGGAGAGATTTTCAGCATCAGACGAGGTAATCTTCGGTCGACCAGTTATAAAGTCTGTTTTGAGGATCAATTTGAAGGGAAACTTGTTCGACACTATTCAAAAGAAATAAACTAATTTAAGGTTAAGAAAAAATTATTTCATTTTTTAAAAACTCATCTTACCATTAAAAAGAGAGTCTCAATTTAATAAAGGGGCGTGTCCAATTCACAACGGTTCCCTTAAAATTAGCAGAAATATCACAAATGAAAATAATCAGTTAACAAACACAAAAAAACATGAATATCTAATAAATACTTGATCGGAAAAAGCTATCGAGGAAACCGTTGTGATTAAACATACCACTCTTTCAATGGAGGGTACCTTGGAATAATGTTTACATTCTCCTTACGTGGAATTATTTTTTATTGGACGTTAAACTTAAAAATTAGGTTTAATTATTTTTAATTCCTAAATGAAGAACTTGACCATCAGATAATTCAACCTTCTCATCCTACATGTTTAATTAAATTAGATCTCATAGTTAGTAGGTACGCTTAGTTCAGTCCATATTTCCTTAAAGTTTTTTTTGTACCTTGGATAGCATTCTACCATCTAGATAGGACGGATTCTCTCCAGTTTGTGATAGATGAATCCCCTGATCATCCCAGCTCACACGAACTTGATGCCGGGACACCTTGGTATCCTTAACCCTGGTTACTGGCCCACGACCTTAAAAGGAAGTTTTGACAACAAATAACGGGGTCATAAAGTATCAAAATAAAAGATAGGCGGATTATTTGTAACTAATAATTTGGTAAAAAAACATTTTGGTAACTAACAATTTTGTAACTAATAATTGGGTAACTTGACAATTTGGAAACTAACAATTTGGTAACTTGACAATTTGGTAACTTGACAATTTGGTAACTAATAATTTGGTAACTTGACAATTTGGTAACTTGACAATTTGGTAACCTAACAATTTGGTAACCTAACAATTTGGTAACCTGACAATTTGTAATACAAAAAAAATCTAAAATGAAATAAGCAGGACTATTTAAAGACTTATGATTCACCAGGTTTATTAAACTTTCATATATCATTTACTTCTTTTACATATGATAACATTTAAACTACATGCTAATGAGGAAACTTAAATTAGCGCATTCACTGCATCCAGGAAATCCTCTACAGTTGATTCATCCCATTTGGAGCAAATGTTATGGAGCTGTTTCATTCGCTCAAGGTGGGGTTTTGTTTCTGGAGCTGTTATTGTCAGGTCATTGTCAGGTTACCAAATTGTTGGTTACCAAATTGTTGGTTACCAAATTGTTGGTTACCAAATTGTTGGTTACCAAATTGTTGGTTACCAAATTGTTGGTTACCAAATTGTCCAGTTACCAAATTGCGCGGTGATACTTAATCTTTTATCAGGTATTTCTGTAAAAAGTCGGACACTGTTACTTTAAACTAGAGCCCACTTGATGGTTAAGAACCCGGGTTATAATGGTTAATGATGAAACATTTCTGATCTATATGATTGGGGCGTATTCAGGAATTTATCCAGGGGGGGCTTAATTTTTTTCTTTTACAGGGGGGGCTCAGCACCCGCTTGGGCCTGAAAACCTCCTGAAATCAAAAGGTTACACTGGTCCAAGGGGCTTTTCTTGTAACAACATTAAACTAACTATGAAAATATATTTGTTTTTCAAAATTTTACAAGAATCAAACATTTTAAAATTGAACAATTTAACACTAATATTTTACGTTAATTTGTAAAGGAATTAAGTTTTTGCCACAAACTCAGATTTTCCAATCCCTATATCTTTTCAACCCAATGTC